ATCCAAGGATGGGGCATCCGCAGCTCTGGGCAGCAGTGCCACGGCCCCGTGCTTCCAGCACTGCTCTGCCCTGCTGCTTGCCGTGGTTTGTGTGCTTGGTGCTTTAGTTTTATCACTGCAAATACACCTCGAAGACAGCTCTAGGTTTTGTTATCTTACCATGCCAAAATAACATTTGATTGGAGGTTTTATCCTTAACATTTATTCAAAGTGTAGTGGAAATTAACATTATCTTTTAATTACAGTTCTTGCACAGATGTTAATTACCAGACAAAGACTGTATTTCAATTACGCAGTGCCATCATAATACGAAATGGATATGAAAATTGGTTTGAAATAACAGAGTAACTGTTGCTGCCTACTGTGCAACTGTGATGCTGTGGCCACGTCAGCCGTCTTTGGTTTCCTTTCAAAATGATATCATCCTTTGCTATTACTTTCCTGATATCAGCTGAAATTTGACTTTCATTTTTAAAATATAATTGACAACATTATGGTTTCAGTTATTGGTGTAGAGCCACGCTAAAGCAGCATGGAGGAGGCAGGATCTGCAGAGGAGCAAGTCCCTGACAGCCACGAGATGCACGGTGGCCTGGGGCTTTTGGGCCTATATATTAGGATGACCAGGTGCTGGAAGGTCTGTCCATTGGCATGACCATACGATGGATTCCTGCGTTGGAATGCGATAGGTTGGAAGGCCCGTGAACTGGAAGATCTGTGCTGATGGCATTTACTGCCTGCAGTCATCGTGAGAGCACGTCTATCTGTGCCTTGGAGCGATGTGACAGGGAGTGTCTGCATTGAGGGTGTTGCTTTCTGGGCAGCTCCTGCAGCTTGCTGATATTTTCTTGGCTGGTTGAAGAACCAAATTCTAGTGGTGCTTTTGCTTGTGTTGTTTCCTAATGACTTTGTCAGGTTGGCATTATTTCTGAGAGCAGAAGCCTGCAGCTGCAGGCGCTGAGTGCTTGGAGGTGCAGCTGGGGTCAGCAGAGCCCTGGGGGTGGATCGCCGCCCACTGTCCAGAATGCCCACGTGTAAGTGCAGCACTTCTCATCCCTGCAGAGTGGGAAATATAAGGATTTTCTTAACTTCTGAATATCTAATAGGGTATTTTGTTTGTCTAGGAGCCCAGACATAATCCCCAGGGGAAGTCAGCGAAAACTGAAGTATAAATCACTGTATTTGGGCCAGGTGTAACCACTCTGAATAAGCGTTTTACAGGCTAGAGCAGTGTCCTCCTGTGGTTCACTTTCACGTGGGATTAGGATGTTTGATGAGAGTGTGCAGTTTGCTGGTGCCGAGCGTTGACTCTGAAGACAAAATAAACAAAATCCAGGAAAATTCCTGACGGCCCTCAGCCGAGTCCAGCAACATTTCTGGGAGAAGTTTAGAGAGCGTTTTCTGGTCCTTCAAGGACAGAAGCCCGTGGAGAGGCTCTAGAAGATAACGTACTGCTCCCATGCCCAAAGCAGAAGGAAGATATCTTGGACCCAGCTGTGGGCATCAGATGTGGCAGTGATGTCCTGCAGGGGACGGGTTCACGAGTGCCTTAATTTGACATGTGCATCAGCAGAAGAAAAAATAATCTTTGTGTAGCCAAGAGCAAGCAATCTCAAGTGCTTATCTGCTTCACAGAGAGTGCCTGGCATGCAAAGTGCTTGCTTTTATTTGAGCCCACAGACAAATTGTGATATTCCATTATAATTAGCTTGAGGTAAGTCAGGACACACTATTAAATGACTGGATGACTTTTCATCCAAGTGAAGATTTCAGCCACTGGATTCGCTCGGAATCAGCAGGAAAGAAATTATTGACTTTCTAAAGCCTGGCTGCATGAAAGGTAGCAAGTTGAACTGAAAATGTGCAGAGCAGCAAAAATGCAGAGGATCAGGGAAAACATCCCGAAATAACAGCAGCAAGAACAGAAATCTTCCTGCAAAAAATAGCACCTTGTGTCCCCCGGGCACCACGAAGCCCCAGTGACTGTGCTGTAGTTCCATGCCAGCTGACACCGTGGGCAGGCGGGGAGCAGAAGGCACGGTGGGCAGGCGCAGCTCGCTGGGCGCTGCAGGGGGGCGGCACGGCGTGCATTTGCAGCAGCCCAGCCATCCCTGGGACTCGCAGCAGCAGCGCTGGCTGCAGGGACTCTGCTCTTCTGAGGGTCTCTTGTTTTGAAACTTGAAACACGTGGCTTTGCTGTCTGCTCAGCAGTGGGAGAAATGCTGTGGCAATGAAGGCTGCAGGACATGCTGCAGTAACAGCGGCAGGGCAGCAGTGCAGGGAGCAGCAGTGATGGGCATCTTGAGAAGACCCAGAGGGCTCTGATGCCTTTACAGACATCCACGTTTAGATGCTTTCATGTGCTGCGTGCTTTAAGGGCAATGCCTACCTTAAGCTGAGGATTTCAAAGCCGAGGGTCAGTTTTCCTCTCTTTTTCTTTGTTTTTTTATGCATCATGTGGGTCAGTGACCCTTTGCACTCCTGTGAATGCCTGCCGTAGCTCGGCTGCTGGGTGCAGCAGCCAGTCCAGGCTCAGATGAAGACAAACTTCGGCTCCAGTGACAATTTCTGTTGTCATTGTATGTGGCCCCATTAAGTGAGGTCGAAATGGGAGATGTTAAATGCTCATCTCATGTCCTGAATAGCAAATGCAAGTTCCAGCTCCTTTGTGCCTTTAATGCAATAAAAGCAAAGGCAGCTGTATACAAACCATTTGGCAGCTGCTGAATGCTCAGGGTATCTGGGAGTCGATTAAATCTTTTATGTATGTGCCATGTCTTGAGCAATATACTGCCAGCTGATGCCTGCCTTCTGCAGCGTGGATCTGGCAGCATTACATACAATTTTTCCTGACGGCTGTATTTAGCCACAGAAAATGTCCTTTGTGCAGGGAGGGACCACATTGTGCAGCACGAGGACACAGTCATCTCTTCTTTTTCTTTCTTGTGTTGCTTTACATTGTAGATCTGCTTGAAAAGTGGATCCAGATTTATTTTAAAACCTCTCAGGCTTGTTACCCTGTAGGTGTTCCCTGCTTCCACAGGGGCAGAGCAGAGAGGTAAAGATGTGTGCTGGGCACTCACCTGTCGGTGCATGGGCTGTGCTCCTGCAGCCACAGGCATTTTAGGGAGGGTTCCTGCTGGTCATGGAGGACCTAAGCAACATGGATGGAGAGGGCAGGAGCAGCACTGGTCCTTGTGTTGTGATGGGGGACAGCAGGGCAGGGACAGCAGGGCACAGAGAGCTGCACAGCACTGCAGGGCTGCACAGAGGTGTGGAGCTGCACCAGCACAGAGCTGTGCTGTGCTCCTGTGGAGCTGCACCAGAGCAGTGCTGCCTGGTGAGGGGAGGAACGTTCCTTTGACCCTCGTGTGTTTTGTTTCTTCCCTAGAAAACAGATGAAAAGTTTGTATAGTACTTGAAAGTGGAGTTACTTTGCACGTAGGTGATGCTCTTCTGTTTCAGAACACCACTTGCAAGGGAACCTGCCATTGTGTTCTCATTTGTTATGCTAGATGTCCATTTTTCCTGCAGAGAAACAGAGAGCAAATGACAGAAATGTGAAAAGCAGTATGTGGAAGGATGGAAAAGTCAAAATCTAAACCAGAACTAATGACAAAGATTTAGAAATTGATGTTTTTCTAGCCTTAATGTGAAACAAATCAGAAAATAGCATCGTTTGCTATCTGAATTGCTGGTACTCATGGACTTGTTTTTAGATAAGCTGTGTAGCGATGCCCATGTCCTAAGGGGGTATCATTGGGTCTTTGCTGCTGAAGGAAGTTACAGGGTGCAGTTACTTTCCCTTGGGGCTTATTACTGTCAGCTTGAGGCAGCAGTCGGGTCGTGCTGGTGCTGTGCGTCGCAGCAGGCAGCTCCCTGCTCACATTCAGGATGCAGGCAGCGAGTTTCAGCCCTTGTCTGTGCTGTCTGTGCCATGTGTCTGTCTGTGCTGTGTGTCTGTCTGTGCCATCTGTCTGTGCCATGTCTCCCTGCAGCTGCTGGTGTCCTCAGGCAGGGCCAGACCCCTGCTGCCCCCCGGTAGGAGCCAGCCCAGAGCATGCCCTCAGCACAGAGCTGTGTACATCCGTGGTTCTCTGCTTGTGCAGTCATTGCAATGGCAACTGCAAAATAATCCCCGTAATTTCATTGTGTTGCTAATTAGGATGTTTGTAGCAGGCTAACGATAACCTCCTATTATTTTGTCATCTTCTGCTGTAATGTGTCCTCAGTGATATTACATTATGTACCATTAACACTTGCAAATTGTTATTAATGGGAGCATTTTGGAAGTATGGAAGAGCTCAGATCTCCCTGTGACCTTTCCTCCATCCAGGGATGCTGTGGGATGCTGCAGGACCTGTTAGATGATGTGGGATCCATGGGATGCTGCGGGTGCTGTGGGATGTTAGATGTTATGAGGGGCAGCGGGTGCTGTGGCTCCAGCAGCTGGAGGTCACCTTTGGTTGGGTCTTGCTGTGGTGTTCCAGTGAAGGCTGTAGGAGCAAACTGCCAGACTTCTTTTTTCAAAGAAAACGTACGCAGCACACTGCAGTCTGGTAATGAAGAGAGGACAGACATAATGATACCAGCTGTAGGATGCTCATTAGTTCATTTCAGAATACCTGCCTTGATAATTAGTGTCGTCATCAGCCAGAGATACGGGAGCAGCACTGAGGATGCTCTGGGGGGGCACTGGGCCCCACTCTGTGCTTGGTAGCTCTGCGCTGTGCAGGGACATGGAGCGTGGCCCAGTGCTGGGCACAGTGGTGGTTGTTTTCCTCATTTTTAACCTATTTACATTTTAATAGCTTTCAGCTGAAGCGAAATGGATCGTTTGACCTTTCTGAGTACGGCCATATCTGAAATAGGTTAAACTCAATCTGCTGGTAGTGTACACTCAGCGTGTGTGAGCTTCCCCTCCTGGAGAGCTGGTCTCACATGTCAAGCAGCAGATGAGGGTAGGGAACATTTTACTAAATCTTTTCCTTCTGCTGCAGGTGTGCATTGTGCAGAAGAGAGACACTGAGAAGATGTATGCCATGAAGTACATGAACAAGCAGCAGTGCATCGAGAGGGACGAGGTCCGCAATGTGTTCCGGGAGCTGGAGATCCTGCAGGAGATTGAGCACGTGTTCCTGGTGAACCTCTGGTGAGTGGCTTCTGCCCTTCCCCCTGCCCTCCCCTGCCCCTCCCCGTGCTGCAGGGCTGCGTTCTGCGTTCTGTGTGCTCTGCACACAGCCCCATGGGGAGGTACTGCGGAGCTGGTGCAGCAGAATGAAGCGCTTTCAGGGAGCACACGCACAGAAGGCATCCAAGTGTTACATCGCAAGCATTTTCCAGCAGTCGGTCTCGTTTCATCGAACCCGTTGTGTTGGTTCTCCTTCAGAGCCTCCTCGCACACACTGCTGCAGGCCAAGGCGCTAGCATTGAGCTGCAGTGCCGGTGTGCCACGTGTGCTGTGTGACCATTGCAGTAGCTCCCAGCCTGATGTGAGAGCTGTTCTTTTTAATGAGGCCCTGAATTAGTACTGAGTGCTTTGGAATGCAGCTGTTTTCTGTGATCTGTTTCTGAGAAGTGCTGTGATCTCTGCAGATTGCCACATGTGTGGCCTTTGGCTGGAGAGCAGCTGATGGCAAAACAGAACTGCAGCAGTTTGCTGCTGAGTGCAGCGTTCCCTTTAGAGCTCAGCTATCTCGCTGAATCTTGCACAACGTAAATTCATTTCCAAATCTAAAAAGTGGTCCATTATATCTGAAGGTTGCTGCTTGGCTTTGAGCGAGGATTTAGCAGCCAAGAAGAGTGGCATTTATACAAGGCGAGGGAACCACTTGTGGTCCCACAGAGCAGAGGTGACAGGCTGAGGAGGAAGGAGGCTGGTCTCTTGTTGCTGACGTGTAGGTGGCCGTGGTTACTGGTGCTGTGCCTGGGGCTGCTCGGTGCTGTGCATGCTCTGTGCCTTCAGAGGACAGCTCAGGTAGAGGCAGGAGTTGCAGTGGGGTCAGGGAGTGTAACTGGGTCCTGGGGGCAGCATTTCCACCCCATTGGCTGTTGGCACTTCAACAACGGCATTTTCCAACAGGTAATGAAATCTGTGAGCAGACATGCTGATGCATATTTTCCCAGCTCCTGCATTTGGAATAAGCACATATTCAGGATGAGAAGTGTGTGATTCATAAGCATTATACAACCCCACATGCTCTCTCCTTAGAAACGCTGTGGCCAAATATAACAATGGGACCTTATTTGTAGTGTATCCTCACTGCTGTCACTCTCCTCCGGGATCCTCTGCAAATAGAGAGGCGTTTTACTCTACCGTAAATACAAATCTACTTCTCTGTTTTTATGGTTAAACTAGCACTTGCATTTTCTAATCCATTTTCAGGATATGCAGGGATATTTTAGGTATGGTTGTGTCGTGCTTTTCACAACTGAAAATCCGCAGTGGCTCTGAGACGACTACGAGCAAAGCCCCTGGGCTGTGTGCCAGGGAGCTGGCAGTGGGGAGTTTGGTACGGGATGGGTGCTGTGGGACATCAGGCTGGACGGGGCTCTGAGCACCAGAAGGAGCTGTGGGTGTCCCTGCTGAGTGCAGGGGAGTTGGACCAGGTGGCCTTGGAAGGTCCCTTCCAACTCAAACCATTCTATGGTTCTGTGGTTTGTTCTGGGATGTTTGAAGCAGGGAACAGTGTGCCTCAGGTAAACCGAGGCAGAATAGCAGGTAGGAATTGAAACACTCATATTTGCTCTGTGGTTTTCTGGTCTGGAAGGGCAGCCCCAAAGCCCAGCCCCCGTACCTGTCTGCAGGGGTTGCTTGCTGAGTGGTTCTATGGCATTCTGTGGGGTTTTGGTGAAGGATGGTGCTCGGAAGGCAGGAGTTAACAGGGGCAGCCGCCTCAGCGTGGAAGTGCCGCTTAGGACAGCAAAAGCATCGTGATGGCCTCGTGAATGGTGCCCCCTTAATTAAAGAGAGGCGACACCGAGGCCTCCATATGCTCGTCGTGGGGATGCAGGCAGATTGTCAGCGGTGCTGTGCAGTCACAAGGAGCTCTGCTGACGGCCACTCCCCGCAGGTACTCCTTCCAGGACGAGGAGGACATGTTCATGGTGGTGGACCTGCTGCTCGGCGGGGACCTGCGCTACCACCTGCAGCAGAACGTGCAGTTCACGGAGGAGACGGTCAGGCTGTACCTCTGTGAGATGGCCCTGGCGCTGGACTACCTGCGCAGCCAGCACATCATTCACAGGTACCTGTGCTCCGAGGCGCTGGGAGCGAGTGGGAGCTGCGGGGCTGTGGGGCTGCTGTCTGGCTGTGGGTCCGGCTGGGCTGCGTGCAGGGGGCTGGCTGTGTGTGGCTCACAAACCTTGCCCACGGAGCTGCAGCCTGGGGACCTTCCTCCTCTCAGGGGCCCGAGTGCGGTGCCTGGGGCCGTGGCTGGGGCTGGGCTGATGGAGGGCTTCCCAGGGTGGGCTGACGCCTGGAGCACTGATTTCACAGACGTGATGCATGAATAAGCAGGATGCTCCCACGTTTTTTTCCCAGGAGAAATATGCTTGTAATGTCTGAAGGGACTTGTTCCATATTAGGGTGTTTTGGGGTTTTGTCTTTCTATTTTTAGATAAAAAGGTAGATAAAAGGGTTGCAGGTTTTTTTGTAGCAGTTAATCTGTCATCTGACTGAGATTTCAGTTTGCTGTAATTTTGCTTCTCTTTGCAGAGATGTAAAACCAGACAACATTCTCCTGGATGAGCAAGGTAGGAGCTCTCTGTCTCACTTTGTCCACCCGCTACAGATTTCTTGCAGTCGAGCATTCTGTGTGTCTTGTTATGTGGGAAAGGTGTGAGAAATACACACGCACCAGGCTTTCTGTGAGAAGAGAACCGGGCTGAGCCAGGCAAAATGAGCCTGGAAACCTTCCTGGGAGCTTCTATTGGTAGTGTTGTTAACACCATTGGTTGGCTATCATGATCTATACAGGACAGCTCACATATGAGATCCCATACATTCAGCTCTCCAGTCCTAAGTCTTAGAAAATGAAGATTCACTTTCTCAAGACAGCAGGCTCCAAATACTCCACGTTTTAGGTAAAGGCTTACCAAGACCATGGCTTGCATGGGAGTTTGTTAGAAAGAACCACAGAGTATGAAGGCTAAATGCCAGTGCCTCAGACTGCGCGTACTATTGGACATGACCTGTATCTGCATTCATATGGTGAAAATGTTCTGCCCCATCCAAGGCCCCTGGCTTCCCCACACAGCCCTGGTGACAGGCAATGCAGGAACAGAGAGAATGTTCTTCTGTACTTCCTGAAACATCTCAGTGATTTCTTGATACAGACTTATGGTTTGCAGAGTGTTAGGATTTCTTTAGATTGATGTGTCTGCATTGGCTGTGCTCTGCAGTGCCAGCTCTGCCTTGGCTCTGGGATGTGGATGTGGTTGTGGTCCAACGCTTTCATCCACAAACTGTTACAGGTTGTTTTCAATCAACACGAACAAGGCGGTGTCTTAACACAGTTTCCTTGTCTTCTTTACTGACTCTAGGTTCTGATATGTCAGTGTGACCAAGTGCTGGAGCTGTGTAAGTTACAGCTCCCAAGGTAGGCTGAACTAGGAGTGTTTACTGTAAGCTGAAATATTGTGGTATTTTTCACATTACTTTGCACATCCCTCTGTTTTTGTGCTGCACGTTGGCTCAGTACTGCCACATTACATTGTTTGTATTCACTGGTGAAAAACTGAGCCTGAGTTTCCCAAGCAGTAAAGAATTTGGCATTTAAAACTGGACATGTCCCAGGTTTGAAACTCAGAATCCTGTAATGCACCACAAACAAAGAACAAGAATGGCCGGGTAGGGTGGATTAAGTTGGGTATTTTAAATGGGCTCCATGCAAAATGTGAAGCTTCATATGTGATTCAAGATGCAGAAGCACAGTGAGGTAGCACTTAGCATCAGGCAGGCCTGAGGTCCTCAGAAGGCTGCAGGAGCCCTGGGGCCCAATGGAGGGCTGGGGAGGTTCCTGCCTGCCCTGCTCTCTGCCCCTGGGAGCAAAAGCTTAAATACACCTTTATTCTGCACTGTGGGGTTCTGTGCTGCAAGTAATTCCTTCCTAACATCTGTCTTTGTTTAAGGTCACGCACACTTAACAGATTTTAATATTGCAACAATAATTAGGGATGGTGAAAGAGCAACTGCGCTAGCTGGAACAAAGCCATACATGGGTAAGAAGCAGTGGCAGGTTGTTACTCTGTGCTTTACCTTTAAGGAATGCTCCCTGCATGCGGCCTTCTAAATCCTGTCTGTCACAAAAGCACTGAATGGATTTCGCCCGTTAATGCATGCACCGAGTCATTCAGCAGAGCTTAGCTGGCTCAAGAGGGGAGCTCCTCAATGGCTGCATTGCCATCAGAGTGCTGCCCGTCCCTCCAGCGTTCCCAGCGTCCCCTCAGCTCCGTGTCCCCTCAGTTTCCTGTCCCCATGGCCCAGTGTCCCCATGTCTCACAGTCCCTGCTTGCTGCCCAGCCCCCTGTGAGACCAGCTGTGCTGCTGGCTTGTCCTGGAAGCCCCACTGGTGGCATTAACTGCACTTATGTGTGGACTTGCACGATGTGGGTGATTTTAGCAGAAACCAACTGACACTGGAGATAACCTGCTGTGGCTCTGCTCTGTCTGTTCAGCTCCGGAGATTTTCCATTCCTTCCTGAGTGGTGGCACGGGTTACTCCTTCGAAGTGGATTGGTGGTCACTGGGAATCATGGCTTACGAGCTCCTCCGTGGCTGGGTAGGCTTCAGAGCCAGAGGCCTAAGAACATGGCTCCTTCATGGGCTGCGGAGAGGAAAGGGAATTCCTTCTCACCCTTGTGTGCTTTCCCCAGAGGCCGTATGACATCCACTCCAGCAACCCGGTGGAGTCCCTGGTGCAGCTGTTCAGCACCGTCAGCGTTCAGTACTCATCCACGTGGTCAAAGGAGATGGTTGCTCTGCTGCGAAAGGTGAGGGCTCTTAGAGTCGTAGAATCATAGAGTCCTTGGAGTTGGGAGGGACCTCGCAGGGCCGTGTGGTCCAGCTCCCCTGTGATGAACGGGGCAGCACAGCTCTCCTGCTGTGTGCTAGGCTGGGCAGTAGCTGTGGTGCGTGCAGGTGTGCCTGGACATATTTCAGTGTGCTAGTAGTGTGAAACTGAAAGTGGACTTTCACAAAGTCCAGCAAAAAGACATTACTTGGTTTAAGCACAGATTAATCTTTTGTTATGATTTTTTTTTTTTTTTACTTCTGTAAGTGTGGAATCATAATGCCTTAGGTTGTAAGGGACCTTAAAGGTCACTGAGCTGCAACTGCCTTCTGCAAACAGGGATAGGATGCATTGTTTGCTAGCCAACGAAAAGGCTGTTTCTTGGTGTAATGCTCAGGTTCTTCCCTGGGGAGGCTGGGTTCTTTCAGCACCCGAGGGTAAGGTCCTTGTGCCGTGGGGTGGGCTGGGACAGCAGGGGAGCAGTGGGCTCAGCGCTGAGAAGTCTGGTTCGGGGGCATTTACAGGGAGGGATTTCGTATGTGTGCAATGCTTTCGTGTTACTGCTGCACCTGGAGAGCTGTCGGTGCGCTGTGGAGGTTGGCTTTCAGCTGTCGTTTGCTTGAAAACTCTGAAAAGTAACTGATGGGCGCGCTGTGAGCAAGGTACGCCCGGTTCCGAGTGGTGCGAGGCTCAATGGCCGCTGGTGCCGATCGGCGGCGCGGCGCTGGGCGGGCTCACATCGCCCCCTGCTGGCAGCTGCAGGGAGCGCCGGGGCAGCGCGTCGCGCGCCGGGAGGGGCGGACGGGGCTTTGCGCCCTGCAGGAAGGCCGGCGCCGCATCTGCTGCTGGATCCGCGCTGCGCTGCGGCGTTGTGCACCGCTCCCCTGTGCAGAATGGCACGCGTTGCCCCCAGCAGAAGGGGTGCGGCACTGCCGGGTCCCCGGTGCGTTTGCAGGGCCGGGGCTCTGGGCTCCATCTCTCCTTGCTCACAGCAGTGCTGTTGTCCCGCAGCTGCTGACGGTGAACCCCGAGCACCGCTTCTCCTGCCTGGCCGACATCCAGACATCAGCATATCTCTCTGCCGTGCCCTGGGGCGATGTCTGCCAGAAGCGCCTGGAGCCGGGCTTTGTCCCCAACGTGAGTACCACAGTACCACGGCCTGCCTGCTCACTGCCCCTGCTGCGGGCGCGGGGAATTCGCTGGGGAGGGATGACCCCGTGTGTCCGTGTGTCTGCAGAAGGGCCGCCTGCACTGCGACCCCACCTTCGAGCTGGAGGAGATGATCCTGGAGTCCAGGCCCCTGCACAAGAAGAAGAAGAGGCTGGCGAAGAACAAATCACGGGACAACAGCAAGGACAGCTCGCAGTCTGTGAGTGCTGCTGGGATGCTGCTTCCCATGCAGATATATTGGGGTGGAAGCGTTTGCCAAATGGAGTCTTCCTGACAGCCAAGTGTTCCTCTTCATAAGTGCAATAGAACCCTTTCACAACAATCTGTGCTTAGGGAAGTGAATTTGACAGATAGAGGTGTGGGCACAGTGATCAAGGGTAAAACTAGCAAACCATCCAACTGGTTGTGGCCTTTCTGAGAAGCACTGTCTTATTGCCCGGCAGCTCAGGGTGAGGCTTGTGCTTCGTGGTTTGTCTGAGGGCTGGATGATGGCCGCACCCACTGTGCCCGTTCCAAGTGTGGGTGCATGGCCTGGTGCCACTGCGGCCTTACAGCTCTGCCAGGCACTGGGAGGGAGAAAACATAATGAACAGGCTTGGAAGTGCCTCTGGGAGAGGGTTTGTGACCAGGAGAGCTCAGGGCTTCTGTTGTGTCTGCCACAGTCCTCAGCTGGCATGCTCACTGCACAAGGTGGCGTGGGGTAGGAGCCCAGCCCTGGCTGCAGGGTCTCTGCACGCCACAGGTGAAACATGCCACAGTAAAAGCTGCAAGGCAATCAGTTGTGCTGTTTCCTTCATCTGGTGGCTGCTGTGTGCTGTGCATTGGTTGGGGCAGTGCAGTGCTGTAGGAAGCAGATGTGCAAACGTGACTCTTCACGCACGTGTGGTTCTTTTCTGTTCTTCAACAGGAAAATGACTATCTCCAGGAATGCCTTGAAGCTATCCAGCAAGACTTTGTCATCTTTAACAGAGAGAAGTAAGTGGGGGCTGTTTTGGGGAAATAAAAGATGTTCTTTTCCTGGCTTTTCCACAATATCAGAAGCTTGAGGACCTGGAGCACCTTGCATGGGGCTTGCTGCAGAGAGGTTGCTGGAGTCTGACCTGCACATGCCGCACCTCCTCGGCTCCCTTGTGCCCCCTCTGCTCCCACTTGGCACCACCTCAGCTCCCCCTTGTGGAGAATTTTGCTTTGGGAGATGTCACAAGCATGCAGGAGGAATGCTGCAGTTCAGCCTGCAGTTCAGTGCTGCTTCGCCATCTCCAAGCACACAGAGGGGCCCTGCTGCGTTCGGAAGCAGACCAGCAGTCAGCCCCGTGCTGGGGGCTGTGTGTGGGGTGGGTGGGTGCATTGCTGTGCCCACAGGCACTGGAGCACTGAAGCCCACACGCTGTGGTCGGGCATCTGGGAACGTGGTGGTATGTTCTGCCGGCGCTTCCACCCATGTAAGGACGTCACCATGCGCTGGAGGTGCCACCAGTGTGAAGCCCCCCTGCTTTGCCTTACCCGGGCCTGCCATGGGATGCTGTGGGGGTGCTGGGGCAGCTAGGGGCTCGCGCTGAGCCGGGTGGCTGTGTGATGTGCTCCTCTGCCCCATGCAGGCTGAAGAAGAGCCAGGAGCAGACCGGCGAGTCCACGTCTGCCCCCGAGAGCACCACTGAGGCTGAGACTGAGGCTGAGGCTGAGCCCTCCAACCTGAGCATGTGCAGCTCCGTGTGCTCCTCGGCGGGCAGCAGCTAAGCTGAGGCCGCCCTGCTGCCGCCCACTGCCGCCTGCCCTGGGTTGCACTGAGTGCCTCTGGCAGTGCCCTGCGGCACCTGGCACAGCAGCTCATCCTGCAGCGTTGTAGCAAAACAGTTCTCACAGAGCTGAGCTCTGGATTTACACAGGCACCAGTTCCACTCACTGAGGTGCTGCCGTGGGTAAGGATACTCGCTATGCAACTTGTCGGAGGAAGGAGACTTATTTCATTACTTGTTCTTTTATAATGTCAGATTGCTGTTTTAATGCAGTGCGATGGCAACGTGAGAAGTTACATCTCCAAGATGGGAAGCCAGCAGGAGGAAAGCTGGATGGGTGGCTCACGCTGTATGAGGCACCGCTGCTAGCGAGGGCTGCGTGGGGCCGAGTGCTCCCACTGTGAGCTGGGGCTGCCCCTGCTGCAGCCACATCTGGAGCAGGATGGCCCTGCAGCTCAGGGATGGCGTAGGCAAACTGTTGTCCCCTCACCACTGCCAGAGTGTCCTTCCCGACTTGGGGTAAATAAATGTTCTTTGTGCACTTCTGGGGCTGGGTAATGATTAAATACGTGATCAATATGTAAAGTGTACTTAAGATACTTGCTTCCTTCATGCAGCCGCTGTGAGTGGCAGGAGCCGTGGGGCAGATGGGGCCATTTGGGCTCTGTGTGCCCAGGTTTGGGGGATGCATTTTGTTACAGGTTCAGGTTTTTTCGGAAGCAGTTTGTGACCTTCTAGTTCTGCTTGGCCATGAAAAGAGGGCAGTGTCTTAATTTACTCTTCAGTTTTCTCTAATTTCAGCGTAAAGTAGGAGTGCTGTACATAACTTACCAAAACCTGTTTTTATCTTCTCAGTAAGACAGGAGCTCTCTGATGGCTCCGCTCTGGGGGTTGCCTTTCTCTGCTTTCAGAGGCCTTCACTCCGTCGGCTGCTCAATCTGCTGCGTTGTGGCTTTTGGTTGCTGTTGTCAAACATGAGCCGTGGGTTCTGCTGCAACAAAGCCGTTGTGCTGCACAGATTGTGGCAGCGGCGTTCACCTTAAAGCTAGCGAGATGTGTTTGCTGGCAGATGCCAAGGAGGTGGCTGGGTTTGCATCCCTGTTCTATATTTGTAACGCAGAAATGCATAGAAAAGGTTTTTAACAGATGCAGACTTTTAGGGCAAACACTGCTGCGTTTTAGTTTCTGTGGATGAAATAGATCAGCTTAACCGTGTACAATTATTTTATATGAAAGATGACACTAAACATTAATTTTCCACAGTTTTATGTGGAGATCAGTGACTGTGCAGAACCACACGTTCATGAGGGGGCAGCAGAGGCTCGAGGTGCAGACCCCAGCACCGGGTGTGCAGCAATGGCTGGGTAGCCCTGCGCCCAGCCCCGTGGGACGGCCCATCTGAGCGCTGCTCCCTGGGCTGAGCTGCCTGCAGCCCTGCTCCCCCCGCTGTGCCCACACGCTGCCTCTTTCCCCGGCGCTCCCCAGCCCTGTCCCTTTTCCCCCTGCACGTCGTGCAGTGCCCAGCAGTGCTGGGGGCACCGCGTGGCCGCCGCCCCAGGCTGAGATGGGGGCTCAGAGGCGGGGAGGACAGACTGCAGAGTGTGTGCGTCTGCCCCGGCACCAGAGCAGGGGGCACGGCCAGCTTTGGGAGCACGGTGCAGCCAGGGCGCTGTGAGTCCAGCACCACTTGGGTCTGGTTTCCAGCCGTGTGTGGATGTGTGTTTTGCTACTGCCTGCCACAGAGCAGGTTCTGTTCCTGCCCATTTACTTATGCATAGAAGCTGGAGATGAAACCGAAAGCGAAGAGTGATGGTGAGAAGGAGGCACAGCAATGGTGCATCAGGCTGTACTGGGCTGCGGGCTGCGCTCTGCACAGGGGCTGAGATGGCTGCACTGCCAAAGCCCCGAGCCCTCCTGTCCATCCTGGGTCAGTGCAGCTGTGAGCAGAGCTCACGGCCATGTGTGAGCCCTGACCCCACTGCAGAGCCTGCGGGAGCCGGTCCAGCACTGCTGTGCATCTCCACAACAGCGTTCTGTACATAACTGTTTAAACACGTGCATCTTTTGTATGACAGATTTATACAGGGAGTGCCGTTACCCGCTGTGAGACGTCTACATCGCCTAGGAATTATTCTCCTTGAATTCTTGCCATGAGGTTTTTTTTCTGATCGCCGTTGTATTTGGGAGTTTTGCAGAATTGCATATTTTCAAGTGTTTCCATTGAATTCCACAGACTTTGCTGGGAATTTTTGTAGAAACCAATGCCAGGTCAGGTCCGGATGGGTCTTTTGTTGCCAATTCATCACTCTGCACCTTGGTGAGAAGAGAATAAGAGTAATACGAATGAGGCAATGTGAACTTGAGGTTGGACAGTGCCGAAACCCTGATGCCTTGGTAGGGAATATTTTTAAATCATCTCAGTGTAAATTGAATAGGTAAAGTATACCTTTGTATTTTATGTTAATACATTTCTGTAATTTATTGCATAGCAATACTGCCATGTCACGGAGCGTTTCAATTAGGACAACAAATTTGTGTTTTTACAGACACTGCGAGAAGCCATTGCCTATGTGGAGTAATAAATGTGTATTTTTAACATTGCCAAGTCTTGGCAGTCATTTCTGGGTTATTGCTCTGCAGGACGAGTCCAGGAAAGAGCATTGGGATACAGTTAGTGCTTCCACATTGCAGACCTCCACTGTTCAGCATCCAGACCACAGCATTGGCATCACAGCCAAAATGCACCATCAGTCAGCTGCACATTCGCTGCTCCTATGGGCAGCACTGTGGTACAGCTGTGTAACGAGCAGCTCCGTGTGCCAGGAATTTCCTCACAGGGGTCCCTGCCCCACAGAGCCCGAGGGCTTCGCACCTGGGTCTTGTGCAGCCACTGCTGTCCCTGCGGTGCATTGCAGAGTGCTGCACTGTGCTGCGCTGTGAAGGCTGCCCCCGAGATGCATCAAGATGCTGAAAGCTCCGTGCAAATACAGCCTGACACCTCGGGACTGCAGGATGCTCCGTCCATCCCACAGCAAGGTAATGAGATGAGCTGCAGGAATGCTGTTGTGGTGCTTAATGCAGAAGTTTAGGGGCCAGCATCGCTGCTCCTCAGTGGCTGCAAACCGCACCTGTGGGCCTTTCCCAGGGTCAGACAGGCGTCCCTGTGCCTCATGCCCTGCAGTGCCAGGCTCAGCAGTGGCACTCAGCTGCTCCCCTCCGTCTGGCTGAGCCAGCGCCTGACCCAGAGCCTGCGGTGCTGTCAGAGGGAATTAGGGCTGTGCAGCTCAGTGGGGCTGCTCCCTGCAGGCACCAGACATGCTGGCAGAGGGATGGATCTTCAGGAAGGGCTGAGACATCTTCCTGAGACAAGCACTGGGTTCTAACCTTGCTGCCCCATGCCAAGGCCAGGTACCTCCATGCCAGTGCTGCTTCAGCTCCCCCAGGCTCCTCCTGCAGAGGGGCTGCCCACAGCTGTGCCACAGAGCAGAGGGGAGGGGTGGGCCTGTGCCCAGGTACCCTAAAATAAATGAGCCCAGCTGCTAGGGATTGCAGCATTTCTCTTGTTAAGAACAGCTGTGTTGGAGCTTGTGCAAGGCTGGGGCAACCTGTGCTGGAGTTACTGCTGCCTTTGTCCTTGCTGGCTATGGTTTCAGCATTGTGCAGGTGGGGGATACGAGTTCAAGTGAGTGTTTTCACTTGAAAAAACACTCAGTTTTCAAAGATGCTTTTATTTAGATGTAAGCAAAACGCTGCTTGCAAAGAAACTAGATGGATGTTCAATAGCCTTTGCAGGCAAAAAAAAAAAAGAAAGACATTAAACAAAATTAAGTCATTTGTTTAAATATATCTGAGCATATATGCTTGATCCAGCCACCCCATCTGCATTCTGGTCCACATGCTTGGGCTCAGGCCCACAGCTGCAGCCCAGCCCCGCACACAGCAGCTGCACGGCCACAGGACACAGCACAGACCTGCACAGCACGAGCTGTTCCACAAAGCAGTGCACATGGCAAGATGAGGTACGAGCACACAAAGTGAGGCAGGGCAGCTGCTTCCATCACTTCAGGATTTCAAATAAAGTTTATTCAATGCAAGGAACAGAAAACCAACTGCGAGGCATGGGGCGGAGGGACATGCATAGATTCATGGCACAGAGGTTCACCTTTTCTGTACATACCTTTAATGTAACAAACTGCCTCGCAGAGATTTTATAAAAGAGTCTGCCCTGTGCACGCAGCCTTCAGCTGGGCCTTTTATTGGCTGTAAGACTTCACTTACACTTGGTACTTGAAAAGCTGTATAAATAACCCTTTTTAAAAAAAAGTCTGCCTACAGCAGCCCAGCCTGCAGCCCCTGCGCACAGCCCCAGCACAGGGACAGGCCCTGGGGGCAGCTGCCAGCACACAGCGCCTGGCAGGGCTCATCGGGTAACAGTCCTTAGAGAAGGGCAGTCATTGGGATAGAAAGGAACGAACACCAGACAACCTGTCCACCAGACTTCCTGTGCAGAGCAGCGAGCAGCACTGCTGAGCACACATTAGATGTACTTCTAGGTGTGGGCATGCATATGCTAAGGGCTCTGAGGATCCAGGTAAGAGACACGGAGCAGGAGCTCTAGGGACTGGGGGACATACAGGTGGGTGAGCTACCTCGGGGTGGGCTTCGTCTACTTTCTACCTAAGAGAAGGTTCATCAGGTGCCCAGGGCCCACCTCGCTTCCACCCTGAGCTGAGGGAACCAGCCGTGCCCTCCATACCAGCACCACGGGCGCAGCATCAGGACAGGGAGGTGATGTTGGAGCGCCCGCCCGGGGGGGCCATGATCTTCTGGGCTGTGCGGCGGGCAACGTGGTCATCAGCCTGAGAGCCTGGGGAGAGCAGAGCAGGACGTCAGTGTGCAGCCATAAGGCCTTTGGGGAACAGCCCGCGTCTCCCTCTAACTCCACTTGGATGCTGCGTTAGCACAGTACAATATAAATGGCCGTGTGGCCCCTGGTATTTTAAGGGGCTTCTAAAAGAGGCATGGTCTGACAGCCAGAGAAGGGGGAATGGCTTTGTGCAAAAAGAGTGAAGATGGGGTGGAGGTGAGGAGGCTGCACAGGATGGCAGCATTAGTGCTCCTTCCTGGGAACAGAGCTGTGTGACCCAGCCCTGGAGCAGCACAAACACATCCGCATTGAGCCCTGCCCCACTGACAGCCCTGCCCCCACCTACCCGACAGGCTGAACCCCGACTGGTGCAGGTTGCGCACGGGCACGGCGGGCACTTTGCTGGCACAGCCTGCGATCCTGGAGGCCGCGATGGTGGGCACAGCTTTGGTGCTGAGGACGACATCGTGGACCGGGCCGTCATACAGCCCCCGCGGGACACCGTGCACCTCTGCCAGCTGCGGGAGGGAGGTGAGGTGTGAGCCTGGCGCTGCGGTCCACCCCCTGCCTCCCCCCCAAGGCCCCTCTCCCTTCACATGCAGCAGAGGCAGCCCACAGCCCGGGGCTCCAGGTGCTGGTAGGTGGTGGGCAGCAGAGGGGGCGCATCCCGCAGGCACACACCTCAACCAGAGCAGCACGGTGCTTCGTTCTACCAACCTCTGTATTCTTGGGCATCTGGCCAAAACCAGAGTGGAGCAATGGCCCCTGTACCAGTATGCATCACAGCTCTGCTTCAGGCTGTGTTGTCTCTGCAGCGAAGCAGACTAATGACTGAGAGGCATTTGAGAACCAAAGGGTCAGCACACATGTGGTTTGCAGGAGAAGAGCAGGGTTTCAAATTAAAAGCACAGGGCCTCATGGGTTCTCCACAAGCATACAGCGTTTTCCACAGCAAGGTTTCTGGTACATCACCTTCATCCTGGCCCCTATCTCACACAGACTGTGCTCTGATCAGCATCTTGCTGTGCTCCTTTTGACCCTGGCTTTTCCTGAAGCTCTGCTTGAACCACAGATGAGGAGGCAGGGGCCGGCTGTCTGGTTGTTTGCAACTTGCCCAATGAGGCTGCCCAAGTGAATTAGCTTAACAAACAAATCACCAACAGCCGGGTCTGACACTCAATTATCATCTACTGGGAGACCAGGGACCTTCAGGACGTGAGCGTTTATATTTAGCAAGCTCTGTCTGTCCTTTGTGACAAAGCAGTGGCACCGGGCGTCTCCTTTTAGCACTGACACAAACACAGGCTGACTGCCAGCCCTGCACAGCTCCCTGCACACACAGCACCGAGGTGCTGGGGGCTGCGCCACCACCGCACTGCAGCACGGACACAGAGGTGCACACTGCGAGCACTGCTGCAGCAGCCAGCGCCGTCGGTGTGCCTGGGGTTTGAGATTTTTGCTCTTCAGTGCATAATGAAAAGGTCTGAAATAACACAAGGAGAAAGGCAGGAAGGTGCGGTCCTTAGGGGCATTCTACGCCTTTGCACGTCTTTGTGTCTCCCAGGAGAGCTGTGCTGCCACACTGGGAAGGGCTGCTGTTACTTGCAGTAACTACAACCACTCCACTAGCTGTGGGCAGCAGCCAACTTGCAGAGTGGTAATACAGCAACTCCATAATTCCCAACAAAAGCACAACCAAATTCTTCCTCCCTACCTATAGAACAAACAGGTAGAGGTTGCATTTTTGCTCTGTAACTTTGTAATAATTGAGTAATACTAACACCTGCATAATCAGCTGCAATCCTGCAGCAGGCACTGCAAGCAGTACGTGCCACGACACTGACCAGGGCATCCCACTGCAACATTCCACCAGCACAGCTCTGCTGCCTGCTGCACCCCAGTGCTTGGAGCAGAACAGGGATCACCGTGCAATAATGCACAGGTTGTGATTATGGCAAATGAAGTTCTCCTTACCCTGTTCCTCGCCTTTATTCTCTTATAAACAAAATCAGGGAACGTCTTTCTGGGAATGAAGCGACCCGAGCCCTCGGTGACAAACAGGTTCCCATCCTCAAGAACGACTTTCCCCTGACTGATGACCACAGCAGGAGCCCCATGACACTCCATGCCTTCAAATATGTTGTACTCCACGTTCTGGAAGAAACAAACCAGGATGTTTAATACTCAGAATGAGGTCAGCACTTAATTTCTCTGCTCTGCAATGAGCACAACCTGTGTGAGCTCTGTGTTATGGCAGCAAAGCTTCGTGGCTCAGTCACTGCTGCTCAGCCCAGTCCCAGCCCCCCTGACTGTCCAGTGGTGCAGCAAACAGCACGCTTTGCATTTCACAAAGGAAATGCAAGGTTTTCCACCTGTTCCTCCATTCACATGGCAAACGCCCTCATCTTTTTGATATGAAGATATACACTGCTTTGCCGCTCCCTTCCAACTGTAAAACCAGCTCAGGAAAATAATTAAGGTATCTTACCAAATTGTGGGTTTTTGCTGAGATGATTTTTGTAGCCTTGGGGTTCCACAAGACCAAGTCTGCATCAGAGCCCACCGCAATTCGCCCCTTCCTGGGGTAGCAGTTAAAGATTTTGGCAGCATTTGTGCTGGTCACTGCCACGAAATCGTTCTCATCCATCTTCCCTGAGACCTGAGCAGCAGGAGGAGGGAAGGGCTGTTCAACACAGGACAGCACAGCAGCCCACCACAACCAAATCATCCCTGGGAGCTAAGGATGCACTAGAGGGTTTGCTTTCTGCACTGGGAAAGATAAGGTCTCTGGAGAGGGCTTCCTTCGTAGGCTCAAGTGAGACAGGAGACTCACACCCACCAGAGATGGCTAAGGATATTTCAATACAGAAAGAAGTGAACCTAAGAATTAACTGCCTTAAATATCTTAATTCTCTTGAATTGTCTTAAGATAAATGGTATTTATCTCAAGAACAAATCTTCCGTCAGACTGTGACCCAGGGATGCTCGTGGGGCAGCGGCCCAGGGCTGAGCACTGTGCTCAGTGCGGGGCCAAGGTGGCCGCAGGCAGACAGAGGCACTGTGGCGATTCTCCATCCCCACCCCCTGCGAGCACCAGCAAAGAGCAGCATCTCAGCCCTCACAGCATCACCGAGAGCTGCCTCCTGACTGTGTGTCACAGCGCGGGGGCTGCTCCCCACCGCAGCCTTTGAAGAGGCTTTGAAGGCGCTCAGTGTCACATTTCCCCACTGCCGAGCTCTTGAAGGAGCCGTCTAGACAGTGTCACTCTGCAGGGCTCATCTGAATTAATGAGAAATCTGACATCACCCGATTTCAGCACCGCTCCCATCCACTCGCATTCACAACCTGGAAGGAACCAGGTTAGGTATTCCTGCACCTACCACACACTTCTCCCAGATTATGGCCATCCGCTCCTCGATGCCATTCGTCCCCTCAGGGATGAGGGTGAAGTTGTCCTTCCCCACGGCCTTCTGGGCGGTGGTGAACGTGCAGTGAGCGCTGCCTGCCACCTGCAGGTCCCCGCTGCACCAAAAGGAGACGCGGTCAGAGGACATCGCAGACACAGCGGCTCTGAACGGGCTCCTCAGCAAACCTGCCCTTCGTGCGGAGCCGCGTGCCGGGAGGCTCGCTGGGAGCTGTGACACAACAGCCCTGAGCTCTGACTGGGGGACGTGGGCACTGCGCGCAGTGTGGGCAGGCTGGGGTTGAACCCGGGGGTCAAGGAGGGCTTCCCCACCCTGAACTGTTCTGTGATTGTATGATACACGCTGATCTCATCAACGCAGGCTCACAGGCAGGCGGCTTAGACCCCTAAGTCCCACTGGAAGTGAAGAGGTGCACAGAGGTACTGCTCTCTATTCACTCATAGCACTGGAATCATACAGTAGCAGCAGCCGTAGCCTCATGAGCACCTCTGCTCTTTTCTCCTAAACTGGCTGTAATTTCTATTTATTCAATATCTTGATCTCTGCACCTCCCTTTTGAACCTCAAGCCCTTCTAATATGAAGACGGTTCTAAGAAAAACCATTCTGATGCACTTCCAAAGTACTTTTTAAAGGAAGGATACAACAAGCACATCCCAGCCCCGTAGCATACTGCAGGTTACGCAGTGCTGCGTGGACATGCACTGCACATGGCTGCAGCCAGCCCCAAAGGGTCACTGCTGCATCCTGCCTGCAGTGGAGCACGCACAGATGTATTTCTGTTTACCCATCCCCAAGCCTGCAGGGCTGTTGGTGCTGTGCTTGTGCACAGAGATGCTCGTGCTGACATGGGGGCAACAACTGACTGAAGCAGCCCCACATGCACCATCCCCAAGCACTCACAGCTTAGACTTCAAACCTCGTGAACACCAAGCGCCGCTGCTGATAAAACCCTTCATCTGACATCAACACCCTGGAGCTCAGTGGATGCCCAGGCTGTGCCGCGACCCCAGGGCCCCCCTGGCCGAGCCCCAGGCTGCACTCACCAGGACAGCAGGGAGGAGAGGCGCTCCGGCGTGGTGGGGTCGGGGCTGAGCGGGGGTGAGGTGACGAAGGCCGCAGCCTTGGCCCAGTTCTTGCTCCAGTAGTGCGAGCCGTCGGCGCCCAGGCTGGCAGTGATGGGCTCACCGTACACCACAGTGCCTGCAGAGGGGGTCAGGGCAGTGCTCACAGCCTTGGCCTCTGTTCACAGCACGCTCACTGCTCGCCGTGCTGCTTTCATTGCTCTCCGGTGTTCTCAGCACGGCAGCTTTTTAAACTCAGACTAAAACCTCTGATTACCTCGGACGTCTGGGAAGCGCTGCCAGAACGCGCTGTGAATGCATCTATTCATCCTCAGGAAAACACACATCTCCAGCTGCAATTTGCTCTGCAGCCTTGGGCTGGGCATTGGGAAAAAGAGAGCGGCCAGGCGCTGGCACAGCTGCCCAGGGTGGGCAGTCCCCATCTACAGAGGCGTTCAGAGCTGCAGGGATGTGGCTCTGAGGGACGTGGGCTGTGGGCTGGGTGGGGGACTCAGAGGGCTTTTCCAGCATTAATGGTTCTGTGGTTCTATTATCTGTACCAAGCTGGTGTCCCTCTGGCTGGGAGCTGACATGGCCATGCACTGCTGCTCTCTCAGCACACCGCTCTGCTCCTGACTCCCTGCAGGAGCACAGCTGGCTCTCCCACCATTCCCTGGTTTGAGTTTAAAGTTTGCTCCAGTTCCATTTTTCACTTAGATCATGATAGATGATTAGGAGTTGTTTTCTGTTCTTTTTTCAGCTGCATCTGCTGGGATTCAGGTGTCAAAGTTTCAAGAACATCACATCTTCTGAGTGCAGCTCAGAGCAGTGAGCTCCAGCACACAGCAAGGAACAGCCAACACCACGAGTTAGCACCCTTACAGAGACAACTGGGGTGATAACGAGCTCGCAGGCCCTGCAGCTAGAGCAGCATTCCTGGACATATGTGAGTGGGCTCACGTAGCACACAGACATGACATAGAGCCTTACCTTTTCTTTTTGCTTGAGCTACCACATCCGCTGCACTTTTGCTCATTATTTTCGTTACGTACAAGGGGCAGTTGGCTTGTTTTGCTATTGTAATTGCACGGTACACGGCCTCTGCTTCAACCTGCAGACACAAAAACAGAGGCACAGAGCATCTCCTCGCAGCCCCAGGAACATGAGCAGCAGCTGCCTGCAGTTCTTGGGAAATGTGGGCACCATTACCTCCTCGGGGCGGCTCAGGACGTGCCCCTCTGGCCCAGTGATTCCGATGTCCAGCAGCCTCTTCTGCTCCTACAGGGACAAAGATAAACGAAAGCGGTCGGTCTGAAGCACTGTGGGACACAGACAGTGTTCAGGAGCAGCCACAGGCTGACAGCAACGAGGAATACAATGATGTGACACCACAGAACACGAGGTGGCAATGACCCTCCAACCTGTTTGTTTAAATAAACCAATTTCAAGGATCAGGATTCTGCTTGCTGAATGTAAGCTACAAAGAACTGCACATCTAATTCTGCTGCACAGCACCCATTCGCAGTGTTTGTCTAGCACTTCCTTTTCTAATGGGAAAAAGGAAAATAATGGATAGCTTGCAATACCAAATGAGGTACTGACTGTTGGTTCTGGTGATACACAGCAGCTGTAATGCAGATCACTGAAAAAACACAACTCTTCAGCCTTCTCAAGCAGTAGAGACACCTGGCTACACAGGGGGTCTACACAAGATAAACAGAGGGATAAACACCACTGAGGGTGGGCAGGCAGCCTTCAGGGAGCCCCTCAGAGTTCTTGCTGGGAACTACTAAGCAGATTTCTGTGATGAAACCCAGGTGAGTGTGTGGAACTGGGAGGATGCTGCTGCTGTTACCGAGAGCCCCAGATCCCCCTGCACGTTCCTGCCACAACAGGATTTCCTATCAGCCCCGTCCTTCCAAAGCTTTGGTAAGCAGATTGTCCTGGAGGCCAAATCCCACCACCAGGTGCGTGTGGGAGGAGGGAGAAGGGGTGGGATGCAGGGACAGCCACAGCCCCCAACCTCTTCACATCTCAGTTAACGTGCAGCAAGCAACCAGAGACTGCTCTGCTGCAGCAAGGCCAGCCCACGTGGTGAGGTTTCTATCAGAAACAACCTGATGCTGAACAACCCAGGTGATGCCAGCAGACAGCATGCACTGCAAAATGCACGCTGATTGTCTTCACAAAGCAATAGAGTCCAGAGCAGGCTGCTCCTCTGTCTCACTTGGACAAATCCCTATTGATTCTGCAGCATCAAATGAGCACTAAAAGCATGCTGGCACTTCCTATCAGCCACTACGGCCCATCTGCTAAGTCAGCATTTTGCCTCACACCAAATTACTCTGATCAGCTTGCAATGTGAATGAATGTAAGCACAATACCTCCTCTATGATGTCTCCGTTTTCAGCATGCACTTGGGCTATGGCCCCCAGGTCTCGAATAATGCAGAATATTTCATACATCTGCCAAGAGAGAACAGGTGCCCAATATCAGACCAACGATGGATTCTGCTCACTGGGGGTCACTGCTTCCACTGCACAGCAGCTGCCTGCATTACCTGGGCATCGGTGCACTGAAGCCTGTCCTTGTAGGCCATAAAAACCAGGAAGGAGTTCACACCTTGGGAAGAGAAAACGAGACGTGCAGTGATTGCCAGAGCTCAGAGCCTGGGCACGGCTGAGCTCTGTGTGGGCTCAGCTGTGAGGGCCTCTCCTATTCCTAAGCACTGTTACTCAGTGCACTATTTCAACAGAGAAACAGGCACACTGCTTTGCACGCAGCATTGCACACAACCCCTTTTGTTCCTACTGAACGCAGAACACGACTCACGGAGCAGAGTCAAAGCCTGAGAACTGCCAGCGTGTTTTATATGGATAAAGGCAACAATTGATTCCAAACTATGATCAAACCACAAACAAACTGTATTTCAAGAGAAGGTAAATATGAAAAATATGTTTTAAGCTCCAAATGGTCCATTACTCGGCTGCTCTGAGTTTTAATAGGAGATTCATTGCAATTTTTTTATGTTAAACAACCAATTAGGGCCTCGCTTGCAAGACTGCAAATTACACTGAAGTCATTTAGCGTTGCGTTAGCGTATCTGAAAGCAAAATGCAGCTCCAAACTCGGCATTAAGAATTAATGAAAGGCACAAATTCCTGACGCCCGGCCAGCACCTCCCTGGGCTGCATCCAAGGGATGCTCAGAGAGCGCAGGAATCAGAACACAAAGGACATCTCCGGGAAAAGCCCAACGCTTCACCCCATTCTGGAGCCCAACCTCCAACGTTTGCACTCGAACAGCTTCTGTAAGTCAGAGCTCCTTACCCTTGTCCTTCACCAGCGCCTCCAGCTCCTCCTGCAGGCCCTCGTGCCAGCGTGGGATGTCCATGTGCAGCGCGTAGTCGCAGCAGGCCCTGCTGTCAGCACGCTGCCGCCACTGCTCGTAGGCAGCCAGCAGGCTGGTCCCAGCCTCGGGCAGCACGTGGTCCACTGAAAAACACCACACAGAGCTGGGGGGCTGCCTGGCACCACCGTGTGTGGCTGGACATCAGCGCAGCCGCTGCCCCAAAGAAACACCCCGACAGCAATTCACATGCACAGAACCATCTGAGTTGGAAGGGACTTCCAAAGGCCAGCCCCTGCAGGGAGCAGGGATGTCCACAGCTCCGTCGGTGCTCAGAGCCCATCCCCTGCCCTGGGCTGCCTGCAGGGATGGGGCACCTCCACCCCCTGGGTGGGCAGATGGATGCACAGAGCTGGGGCAGGGCTTGCCGAGCTCCGTGCAGACAGGTGCTGCTCTGTGGGCTTTGGGATCAGAATAAGAACAAATAGAAATCAAAACTGACATATGTAACAAAGTGGAACCCACACTCATAGAGCTGATAGATTTATAAGTATAGTTGCATAGCTATTAAAATATACAAAATGGTGATTAACATTTTCTCCTGTTCTATTGTCTGAGATTCAAGTTGGGTATTAGGAACAATTTGTTCTCCAGAGAGCAGCCAGGCGCTGGCACAGCTGCCCAGGGGTGGGCAGTCCCCATCTACAGAGGTGTTCAGAGCTGCAGGGATGTGGCACTGAGGGACGTGGGCTGTGTGGGGGTCTCAGAGGGCTTTTCCAGCATTAATGGTTCTGTGGCTCTATGAGGTGAAGCAGGAACTGCTAAGTGTGTTCAATATACACGTGTTACAAGAGGAGGTTACTGAGAAGCACATCATGCATTCGACTTTGCTTTTTAATGCTTTGGTTACTACAGAAAAATGAGCATTTCTCTGCTAGGAGGAGAACGAAGCTCTGCCATGACAAAGGCCCTGCACAGCGCCCAGCTCAGCGCTGCCCATCTTACTTATCATCGTGGTTCCTCCCGCCAGGGCCGCCCTCGTGCCTTGGTAGAAGTCATCAGCGGAGTCCATCCCCATCACAGCCATCTGCAGCCTCGTGTGCACATCGATGCCACCCGGCACCACCAGCTGCCCGTAGGCATCCACTGTCCTCACCCCGCTGGGAACAGCCAGGTTCTCTCCAATCTGTCTGAACACAGCATTCAGGTGAACACCCAGCCCAGCCCCGCAGCCAGGAGCTTCGTGCAAACTGAACAGCACTGGGATCTGCCCGGCAGTGACATCACACAACTTCACTTACTTTATTAAGCCATCCTCCACGTATATGTCGGCATAGAAAGACTGGTCGTCGTTGACGATCTTCCCGCCCTTGATCAGAAGCTGCTCGCTCTAAGTGGACAAAAAACAAACGTAGGATTTCTTCCCGTGGACGCTGCTCACGGTGAGATGTGGGGTTGGGGCTGCAAGCACCACTAAGTGCATCTCATTGACCTGCTAATTTATTGACACAATTAGCTTTTCCAGTCCCGGAGAGGTGGTAACGCCTCGAGGCCTTTCCTCCCTTCAAAGTAAGGCTGCAAGCCGCTGTCAGATTGATGAGATCTTTAACCAGAAACGTTAGAGAGCTGCAGCATAATTAGAGGGCTTCTTTCCGACCCTATGCTGTATTAACGAATATCAGCGAGGCTGCAGTGGGCGGTGCTGGGGGCACAAACACAGCGAGGGACGCACGCGGGGCTGCCGACCGCCCCAGCATTGCGTGCTGCTGCGGGACAGCCTGCAAACACGTCGGGGTGCGGGGAAAGGGCCCTCCTGGGTGCATGAAGGAACCACGAGCAACGGCGCTGCCTTTCGGAAAAGGCATTTATCGCATCGCTATTGTTCGTGCGAGTCCCATAACATCAATCACGAGGAGCTGCGCCGGCTGCCCCACGGGCACAGAGCAAATCCCCGCCCCCGGCTGGGATGGCGGCTCCGATCCGCGCGGCTGCGCTCAGCGCGATGCGTGCGGGGACTGCAGGGTGAGCCGACGGGAAAACACAGGATAAAAAGGAAAAGAAAAATAAATAAATAAATAAAAAAAGCAGCGTCGCTGTCTGGAGATTTCCCTCACTCCTGCTCGGCAATAGGAGCAGGGAATCCCCTCCTACAGCAGCAGCGGCGGCGCCGGTTGGCGGAGCGCTCCCAAACAGAGCGGCGACAACAGGCGGAGGATCTCCGCCGGACCCCCGCAGCGCTCCGGGCGCGGGATGAAGCGCGGGGCATCGCGGGGCTCGGGGCGCTGCGGAGAGCGGCGCCGTCGCCTTTGTGCGCGGAGCGCGGCTTTGTGTGCGGGGCCGCCGGGCAGACAAAGGCGCAGAGCCGGAGCTCCGAGTCACAGCGGGTCACGCGGGGCCGCCGCCACCGAAGGGCCCTGCGCCCGAAGCCGCGATGCGGGGCTGGGGGTCGCGGTTCGGAGCCGAACGGCCCCAGCGCTGCGGGGCGCTCTCCCGAAGGAGCCGAAAGCTCCCAGCCGGGACGCGCGGCCAGCCTCGGCTCTTCCGCTCCCGCTGCCGGACGGCGCGAGCCCGGCTCCCCCCCCTCCGGAGCCCCTCACCGTGCCACGAGGGCCGCTCCTCTTGCCCGGGTTCGACATCTTCCACCGCTCCGTGTGTCTGCGTCGTGCCCGGCCGTGCGCGGCCCCGCGCCTGCGCGCCCCCCGCCGCCGGCTCCCCCCGCCCGCCGGGGCCACGCTCCCGCTGCTGCCGTCGGAAGCGGCTCCGCGGCCGCGGCGGTGGCTCCGTCAGAACCGGCCCGAGCAGTAGCTGCTCCTGGCACCCACGCTGACCGGCGGCGCCGTGCTGGCCGGCCCAGCCCCCGCGCGAGGCTTCCCCGACGGCACGGGACGGAGCGGAGGGCCCGGCCAGCCCCACGCGCACACAAACACACACAAACACGCACCTGCCGGCAGCCGTCGGACGTCCCGACGTCTCGACCCGCGGTGGCAGCCCCCGGAGAGCGCGGCGGCGGCGCGGGGCTGCTACTGCCGTCGGACGGGGTCGCGGAGCCACGGGACCGACCGCAGCCACCGCCGCCGCCGAGCGAGGGGAAATCCAACGTCTTGTTGTCGAAGGCGTCCTCCACGCTGCAGAACATCCCGCCGCGTTTCTGTCGCGGCCGAGGGCTGCCCGCTCCCAGACCCGCGAAGCAGGCAGGCAGCGGCTCGGCGCTCCGCTCCGCCATGGCCTGCACCGGGCGGCACCGCGCGGGAGGAGCGCCCGCAGCCGCTCAGCGCCCACCTCCGACGGCCGCGGCCCGTCCTCTGGGAGCGGCCCCCCGCCGCGCCCGGCGCTTCTCCGCGCCGCCCCCCGCCGCGGGCGGCACTCCGCAGCGATGGCCGCGCCGTGCCCCGGAACTCCGCGCTGCTGGGGACTCCGCGGTCAGCGGTTTGAGAGCGGCAGAGATCGGCGCTGAGCCCGGCGATAGGGGCTGCGCTGCGGGTGCGGGTTTTGTTCCGGGTATCATCGATGGGTCGGGTGGAACTTCAGCTGTTTAAAATTAGGGCATAATGGAAAGGGTGAGCGAAGTGAGTAACACCTGGCTTCCACCTGTGGCAGGGAGAAAACAAGTCGCCTATTTCAAGGTTTAAAACAGCTCTTTTTATTAAAAGTTTACAATAATTTATGTATTTTACAAATGAATAGAAAGTCTCTTGATATATATCATATGAATCACGATACAAAAATACGTGTAAAATTCTGTAATTGATCGATGCAGCCCCGCCTTGGGCCCAGCAGTCGTCGCCTCAGCACCGACCCAACGTTCTGCACTCGGGATGCGGCTGCTGGAGGTCACAGCGCGGCGCACAGCACGGCGGCCGGGGATTCATTTTCTCCGGTTCGCATCGATGTTCAGCGTTCCTTTTTAGCAAACACACCTCGCATCAGTAGGGGCTGTGCTGCACTATTCGCAGCACGGATTCCTGAGCCCCTGGGCTGCCGGTGGCTCCGTTTGGGAGCTGCGTAAGGCACTCGGGGATGCGCTGAAAGCTGGGGCGCTGCTGGAGCACAGCGCTCACTGACGGCCGCGCTCCTGCAGCCGGGTGAGCTGAGATCAGAGCGGCTCGTAGTTCAGCTGTGTTGCATCAGTCCAGCCCAGGCCGTGCCTGTGCCCAGCGCTGCAGTACCCGAACTGGGAGCACCTGCGACTCCTTCGGCGTTCCTCCAGAAGCTCCCCGTGCTGCACATAACACACTGCACGCTCTTTCCAAACTCCGGTAGGTGAAATCAGGCTGCCATAGCAGAGCAGCGGTGAGCGGGCAGTGCGTTCAGTGCGTGCCCCTCCGTCCTGTTTGGAGCAGGGCTGGGGCTGCCCAGGGCCCCTCAGCCCCCAGGACCGAGCCCCGAGCCTCCCCAAGCCGAGCACAAAGCTGAGCTTATGTTGAGCTCAGCAGCACGTCTGTGTCGCTGTCCTTCTGTGCCTTTAGACAGAAGAAACTGTTTTAAAAACATTCTTTGAGCCGTTGTTTTCTTTCCTATGTACATAACTTTTTACATGTAAATATTAACATCTACATAAACGTAATCCCTTATTTACACATGGACCCGTCCTGTACAGCTTTCTCATTAAAGAAAACACCGTAAGGAAGTCTAACCAAGAGCTGGACCTGTGCGGCACGCACACGGGACCGGGGTCTGAGTTACGGGGGATCTCAGTTTGGAGGCGGTTCTCTGCCCCACGCCGCCCCCCGGTGGGGTTAAGGCATTCTGCAGATGCCACAGAGCACATCCCGGGCCTTCCTGGCTTGCAGAATCTCCACGAGGGCCCGCCGTGTGCCACACACAGCTCTGTGCAGTGCTGCCACGTAACTGAGTGCGGTAAGACGTTGCGTTTAAGTGCAATTCAAAACGGACGTTTGGGATTTGACTTCTTTGTGCATAAAATGTGGAAGGGACTGTTTGGCTCATCTGTGTCACCCCAATGTAGGTGCTTGTGTGGGGTGGAGCTGGGTCGGGTACATGACTCCTATCAGATATATGCTGATATCGAAGTCCATAACCTTTGATTCTCGTTTTGTCCCATTATTTCAGCACAGATGAAACACTCTTCTGAACAATCTGAGCTCTGACAGTTCTGCTGTTGGCTCCCGTGCTGCTCAGTGCCCGGTGTGAATGGAGGGCTGCTGGACCAACACCAGGGCTTTAGAATTTTGTTATCAACGGGTTCACTTCTCAGCTTTCTAAAGCTGCCGTGGGTTGCAGAAGCGGTGCGGGCACCTATGGGAGAAACAAACACAGGGGTGAAGCACAGCCAGAGGCCCCTCCTGCAGCGATGCTGATCCCAAACACTGCAGCACTTCTGGGGACCCCCTCCCACACTGCGGGGTGTAACTGCTGGGCAGAGCAGCCATGCAGGGCTGAAACAAACTGCTTTGGGACACAGAGCCAGCGTTGGCGTGGCTCCCAGATAGGAGCCTTTAGCTCCTTCAAAGCCTTTTGTTCGTTTGGCAGCATATGGTGCTACTGGTGAATCTGCACTACACCTGTGTGGAACTGTCGTGCAACCGCGCAGTTGTGTTTAATTGCTTAATGATGTTTGATTGCTTTTTAGTAAGACGAATCTATTAGCTAACAACTGTAATTGTACACAAACCGTGTGGAACTATTTCTAAGTAAGGAAAAAAATATGGGGTGGTGTATTTGCAGCTGTTGGTGCTCCGCAGCCACCCTACCAGAGCAATTATTGCAGGCTGGGCAGGCTGTGCTGGTCTGGCAGGGGTGAGTGGTGCAGCCCCCATCTCCATGGCTGTCACAGCACTGCCATCTCCTTCACAGCCCCCTCATGGTCCTCCTGTCAATTTGTGGCAGCCCCGGGGCTTTTCCTGCTCATTACGAGAATGAAGCCAGCCACTGGGACAGCCCTACTTCAGCAAAAGCCACCGACGGAACACGTTTGCCTACATCTGCCTCTGCAGATCTTTGTAAGAAAGCCATCACAGGTCTGAGCTCCTCAGACAGGTTCTTTTCCTGGCGGAGGTTCGTCTGGGAGCTCTAATTGCCCAGTGGGGCAGACACATCCCGCACAGCACCCGCACTGCTGCTCAGGGCAGCCTCCTGCCACGCACTGCCCTGCTGCTCTGTGCCCACTCACACCACGGCCTGCTGCAGCCCTGCACCTCACCCAGCCTCCTCTCCTGCCCTCCTGTCACTGCTGGAACTACTGGTGGAACCCTGGGCTGTGGGCTGGGTGCAGACACATCCCTATCCTTAGGAAGCCAGGCTGAGAAGCAGGAGCTGCACAACAACACCTGGAACTTAAACTTAAGCCAGGCCAAAGAGTCGTTGTTCTCACTCTTCAGAATTGTCATTCTCCACAGTACATCTAAGAAATCCTTCCTGCAGCTCTGTCTATGCACACTGTGGTGCTGCTGGCAGGGACACACCAGTCCCTCACCGTGACACCACTGGGCAGCTGGACCTCCTCCTCAGCCCCACCACACGAGATCTTTACAGATGAGGACGAACACGACAAGCCGTGACTGACAGCACTGTGACTTACACAAATGAAGTTTAATCTAGCTGATTTGTGTGTGTACTCAAAACTCCATTCCTCAGACAATAGTTAAGGGCTATGCTGTGCATCTCAGCCCCACCAAAGTGAAGGAACACAAAGCCCACACGTCCCCAGCTCACAGTTCATTCCTGGGACTGTGAATGAATGAAATGGGAAAGATTGACAAAGATGAGTTTGTTTTAGCTGGTCAGTTTCCCTTGTTTCCTCCCTAACAGAATAGGATCCTGCCCTGTCTGGAAGATACAGTCTTGAAATGAGAGTAAACCAAGGAGAGAATGCTTTGGACCTCATGGAAATGAGATCTGCAGTGCTGCAGCCCCCCTGAAGGGGAATGATAAAAAGGGCAAAGTTTGTTTCAGAAAAGAGTGCTCCATGGATCATTACCTCTACAGGGCAAATCTCAGCTTCTGTGCCGCGTTAGGGCTGAATGGGTCACTCGATTACAGCTACTGCCTTGCTGGTTTTGGTGAACAAAACATCGCATTGCCAACATGATACCCAGGGAAAACAGTTGTCACTGCAGAGCGTGTAACCCGGCTGGCCTGCCAGGACACTGGCAGCACGAGCAGAAAGCTCTGTGTGACACTGCTCCAAACCTCAGCTCTGTGCTGGATGCTGCTGTTTGAGCAGAGCACGCTGTCCTGCCCTGTGGATGGGAGCCAGCAGACACTGCTGCCGAAATGCAGCAGCTGTGGGAAGGCCTGACAGATGTGGGGGCCCTTTTAAATGTTAATCAAGGCGTTTAACCCCATATTTATGCGAGCTCACAGATCAGAATTTGACTCTTCCACGAAAGCACAGACCCACAGTTCAGGAGGTTTGAGGGGGAGGCCCTGCAGGAACTGCAGCACTGAGAGATCAGAGACCGCCCTGCTCTGTACAGCAAACATGAGGACACTTGTATGAATTAATTGTGCGCTCGGCATCAAACGCCACCCCGCAAAACAGGGCTCTGCACATGAGGTCGTGCTTTGACCATTTCGATGGCTTCCATCCTTTCACTGAGCTCTCCTGAAGAACGCACGGCGAGCACACAGCTCTGCTTTTGTTCACCTCTGGGTCTGGAGCTGTTGTGCTCCCAAATCTCAGCAGGAAACTCAATCAAACAAACCCTGTGCTATTCAGAGGTGGTGGAAGCACCGTGCTCAGGCCCTCAGAAAGAGAGCAGAAGTGAATCTGTTCATCTGACTGGAATGGTTGGCTGCAAGCTGACCTTAACAGCAATACAAGTCAGTAGAAATATTTTTCCAGCAATGTTAATTCTAAGCATTTAACTGTCTGGGGGGTCCTGCTTCATTACAGAAACATTGTTCTCTGCTTAGCATTTTAGGTGTCTGCATTTTGTAGCTGTATCTGACGGAGAAGGACATGATGCCATTGTCTTTTCTGGGTTTGTGTCCAATTAATGCAACAAATCAGTCCTGTGTGAAGTCTGTTGCTCTGGAGCAGCATCTCACATAACTTCCAGAAAGCAGACTTTCTGCTTACAAGGAAAACCTCATCAGGTCTGCTTCACACTGTTTTCTGGTGGAATTGGCTGAACAGTAATTTGCAGCCTTTCACTTTGGCTTCATGAACTGAAATCCCTCAGTGATCAAACCTCCAATCTGCGCTGTGCTCAGGCACCACCGTGTCGTTATTTCTGCCCGAGGTTCCTCCCTCTCACCTCGTCTCCAGACACTGCAAATTCGGGCTGACACTGTCATTTCTGTGCATTTCTATGCACTTCAGCCCATATAAATCCCTGAAATATTAAAGCAGAAAAACGGTGCAACGAGGCGCTCCACACTTTTCTGCATGTTGGTTATTATTAGTCTGCAGGAAACCCCTTTGTTAATACTGAGCCACATTCTGCTCTTTACTGGGATCAATTACACAGGATTTACATCACAGTAAACACCAGCAGACTTCGAGCCTTCTGCTTTATATGCTCCCATTCATCCCACTGGGGGGAGCTTCCTGAAGTCCTGAATTTCCCCTATTTGGCTCATGCTAAACAAAGATGTTTTGAGTCCTTCTGCACAGCAAAGGATCCCCAATTAGTATTCTAATAACGTAGCTTATTAACCTTGCCTCCATACCCCTGTGAAGTAAGCCTTTTACAGCCCCTTTGAAAATAAATGGAAATATACAGGATGTGGCCGATGGAACAATGAAGCAAAATTTAAGCTCTAGCAGCTCATCATCTCTCCTGTGGATCGTTTCTGCAAAAATGTGCTGCTGACCTTAAAAAAAATCTCTTCTGATAACTGAAGCACACCAATAAAAAGTGCAGCATGATTACACCGCCAATAAATAAAGTGATTTAGAGAAAAGTAATTATCTACCAAAGGAACAGGATAGCATGGACAGATCCTGGACAGAAGCATGGACATAAGGCCGTGGGGTGACCTCACTGCAACCTAAGGGGAGCCTACAGAGGGGAGGGGAATCAATTCTTTGAAAGGGTTGATGACTGCAGGACGAGGGGAAATGGTTTGAAGTTGAGGGAGGGAAGATTTATGTTGGATGTCAGGGGGAAGTTCTTTGCTATGAGAGCGGTGAGGTGCTGGAGCAGCTGCCCAGAGAGGCTGTGGATGCCCCGTCCATCCCTGGAGGTGTTCAAGGCCATTGGATGGGGCTCTGGGCAGCCTGGGCTGCTATGAAACGTGGAGGTTGGTGGCCCTGCCTGTGGTGGGGGGCTTGGAGATTCATGATCCTTGAGGTCCCTTCCAACCCGGGCCATTCTGTGATTCTGTGATCCAGCAGTGGTGTAAAAGGAGGTGACCCGACGGGACAGCTGGCAGCAGAACTCTGCTCTCCAGCTTCACTGCTGGGCAGGTGTGAAGGCGCCCAGAGGTGCCATGGGGAGATAAAAAGATCAGGTGCTGAAGATCTCGATTTGGCGTTTCTAATTGCTCTCCTGCCTGCAGTAGGAAAGAACGCTGAATATTCTCCGTTAAAAATGGTACATCCACTCCTAAAGCAAATTCGTGCTGCTGAAGAAGAAACAGGAGGGTAGAGCTGTGTCACTGCCTGGGATTACTGTGCACCGTGAGCCCGAGGGCGGCCCACTGCTGCTCACGGGGGTCAGGAGGAGGCAGCTCCCCGTGCTCTGCAGGGCGTCCTGCATGCCCCGTGTGCTGAATGGCAACGGCGCCCACCTCGCAGGCTGAGCTCTGCCAACACCTAACATTTCCAATACCTAAGTTTAATTAGAATAGTAAATACATTGCTATCTTGTATTATCAGTAGGAAACCTTTGCAGACGTGAATCTGGATTGCTGCCTGAGTGCGATCCTGCCCCACGAGGGGTGTCTCCCTCTGAGGGCAGACACAGGAACCGCCTCCGTCGCTCTGCGTTATCTGCTCCGCTCCGCAGCGCACTTTGACATCAGGGCCGGCTCCTGAGAGCTGTGCGGCAGCCCGAGGGCAGCAGGGAATTGTTCTGGGAACCCCGACAGCAGCGTGTGCTGCGCTGCTCCCGAGGGACGGGGCTTCTCTTTTTAACTTCTCTTTATTAAGCGAGATCAACGGGACAAAAATAACGGCTCTGGGGGCGCTTAAACGCTTCTACGGGTCCGAGAACAACGAGCCCCGGCGGCGCTGCCGCCCCCTAGCGCTGGCAGCTCGCAGCGCCGCCATCGCCGCCCCGCCGGCCGGAAGTCAGTGAAGAGCAGCCCCGGAAGTAGCGGGCTCTGCCGCCCCGCAGCCGCTCTCTGTGCTGCAGCGCCCCCTTGCGGCGCGGCGGAGCTCTGTGCAGGAGGGTTGGGGGCGGCCCCGTTTCAGATCGGTAATTTCCAGCCGCAGCCCTGCGCCGTGTGTCGGCAGGCTGGGCGGGAGGGAGCGCTGCGGAGCGGCACGGCGGCGGCTTGCGGCTCCTTCAGGGCTGACACGTTCCAGCTGATCCTGATGGACTCTGCTTTTGGGAGTGAGCACTGATTTGGAAAAAATAAAAGCCCAACAACGAAACAGCTGTGCTCATACTGAAATTCGGTGTCGAAATTATGGACTAAAGTAAGACAAACAAACAAGTCATTTACATAAAGACCGTGGACTATTCCATTTCTTCTCTGCGTTATTATCACAAATAGGTTGAGGGAGCCAGACCGACCGCCACGCAGTTACGAAGGAAGTCATACATGTAATTATATAATAAATCAGCTTTTAGGAATCTCCTGCCTTACCTGTCGGAGCTCCCTGGCTTCGCGTTCCTCCCGGTGCTCCCAGCGGTGGGCAGCGCTGCTCCCTGCAGGCTGGGGCTCCAGGAACAGCAGGCGGCTCCTGTCATCCACCAGCAGGTCCGGATTTACACACCTGGCTCCAGTTCCCATGTGGCGAAGTACTGGTGGGACTCCCCTGGGGTTCTTCCTCCTCACCTGTTGCTATCCAAGATTCCCTCTCCTGGCTCCGAGCCCGGCCTCGGGCACATGCTCTGCATATCCGTGCCTGCGCTCCTCGTGCCACCTCCCACATTGGGATCAGGGATGGTGTGTTTTCAGGTTCTTTCTCAAGTTGAACGTTTTAATGGACAGTGTTGGGCCTGTTAGCATCATTCAGGAATAGCAAGCTCCAAATTAGCATGCCAGTTTTGTCATCGTGCTGCGCAGCATGGCCTACTGACAGCTCACAGCCAAGTACAGTTTCATTTCCTGAAGGGTTCAAACAGAGCTTCACGTTTTCCCCTAATCCTGGCCTGGTGGGGCAGTCAGCAATTTGGGCAGACCCTGTGCTGTGATGAAATGCCTGGAACACAGCGCACTCTCGTAGCTCACGTTTATCTTTTCAGGAGTTATTCACCTGGAGCTCCCTCTATAAATTTCTTTCAAGACAGATTTGTAAATAACTATGAATCACAAATATAAATGACTGACATATAAAACGGGACATAGTCACTTCCACAGAGAAGCAATTCTCTACCTGCTTAGCAGGGAACTAAAATATATTCAGTGTATCTGAATTAGTATACTGCTCCTTAGGTAAAGCTGAGTTATTCCAAGCAGCAGAGACAGGCTTGGGAGAAGCCCATAACTGTTAGCAGAGGCAGGGCTTTTTGGCTTTCTTCTTTGTCAGCTTAGTGCCAGCTTTTGAAAATGCATGGACAGAGGTTTCAGCGGTGCAGACCCCGCCTGTGCAGAAGTTCCCACACAGCCTGGTTCATCTTCAGTCTGAAAGGATCATAGGGTTCGCTCCTCCATCTCCAGCAGCAAAATACAATATATATTTGGCTTTCTTGACATTGCAATGTCTCTTTCTCTGTCTTGGCAACCAATGCCATCTTCCACTTAGTAACAGTAGAAGCAATTCCAGCTTCATCAGTAGGCTGAAACAAGAAAAATACATTAAAACATGGATCAAAGAAAAGAAAATCCATTCCTAAATAACACGCACAAAAATTCTGTAAGGTTCATATTTGCATATATCTGTTTGAATTGCACAACAAGTAAAAAAGCATTTGTGTCGTATCCCATTGACTTCCGTGAGTAACAGAGACCGTTCCTTCCAAAGCTGCTCATGGCCAACGTGGCAATCTCTGCCACCTCTCCAGGCACAAATGGGTTGGCCTTTTTTCTCCTGTTTTCATGAGATAATGGGTAATCCCAGCAACACTTCGGGCACACGTTAATTTAAGGTGTGGGCAGCTCTAGAGAGTGCATGGACACAGCCGGGGCAGGCTGTGCAGCACTGGTGGGCTCTGTGCCACGTGGGAAGAGGAGGGGACCCAAGCAATCCGAGTGCTTACCTTCTGCATTTGGCCTGGAGGGCTATGACCAAAGAATGAAAGCTAGAGAGAAAAATAAAAACAAAAATAAAAACTGAAAAGGGGAGGGAAAAGAGGAAAAAATGGAAGAGAAGAAAGAGAGTGAGATTTTACAGTGTGTTTAGCTGAGAATAAGCCATGGTTACAGACAGTGCAACAAATCTTTGTGTTGGGAAGCAATACCGACTGCAGGGTGACCCCCAGAGCCAGCTCTGCTCAGCTCAGGCAGTTACCTGCATCCCTTGGGGCATGGGGAAACACGGCCCAGCTGCAGCCTGGGGCAGGCAGGCAGGGAGAGCAGCAGCTGAGATCTTCTGATACTCCAGAAGTATGCACTGCTAAGGCTGGAGCTTGATTTTGGGCAAGAGTTCAGCTCAACAACTATTGTGCCTGCGGTAAGGGGAGACTTAGACTGGGTATAAGAAAGAAGTGGGAAGTGAGGCACTGCGTGGGCTGCCCAGAGAGGGGGTGGTCCCTGCAGACAGCCCAGGGCAGGGAATGGGCTCTGAGCACTGATGGAGCTGTGGGTGTCCCTGTGCATTGCAGGGGGGCTGGACCTTACAGGTCCTTTCCAGCTCAAATGATTCTAAAATTCTATGATTCTACAGTTCTGTGATTCTGCAAGTTCCCTCTTGGCAATTGCTCAAGGAATAGATGTTTCACATGAGGGTCACGTTAGGGCAGAATGTGAGTTATGGTTTGGCCAAAATTGAAGCTGTAGGAGGAGAAGTGGCGCCGGGCACGTGGGAGCTGCTTCTGTGTGAGATTCAGGTGGGAGCTTTGGGCATAGGGAGAGAACTGCGAGAAGGTAATTTATGCACAGCATCACTTTTTGTAAGATTATTTTCTTAGCAAAGATGGAATGAAGATACAGACATGCACACATCATGTATCAGCTGCTTCATCTGCATTCTCTTACCTTTTCCTCTAACTCTTTTATTTGTCTTTTTTGGCCTTCAATTCTTTCTTCTAGCTCTTTAATTCTCTGTTCAATTTGAAATTTAAGAAGAATATATTAACCAACCGAACACAAACGTACCCAGAAGATGTATTATTTTCAGGGATGTGACTCGCACATATCTCTTCTAAAAAACAAATGCGTGTTTTAAGCCATAGACGAGTCCTCTGTTAGTGCAGCACCACGCACGACAAACCCACAAAAGCCAGGCTGCCATTTCAAGGGATGCTCTGAGGCAAACCAAACCTGGCTCCAACACCAGGGACCCCGGCGCGGCCCTGCAGGGGTGGCATGGATCTCAGCGTGCCCCTGCGATGAGTGCTGCCTGCCCACTGCAGCACATACCTGCTGGGCGTGCTGGACGAGCTCCATGCGCTCGCGCAGGATTTGGGCGTCCCTCTCCCGCAGCTCGCTCATCACCTGGCGCTTCCACTGCTCTACCGCGCTCTTCAGTTTCTCTTTCTCCTCTTCTGAAAGAAGTTCGGAAATTTTGGCTCCAGCTTCTTGCTGCAGGGCATCATAGAGCATGGCTTCTAATTCCAGAATTTGCTAATCAAAAATAATATATACGGCTGTCAGCTCAACGTGGTCACGGGTGGTGGGAGGGTTCAGCGGGGAACTGGTCGTCCTTCCTCTGTACGACAAGGGGAGGGCTGGGGGCAGCATCCTGCACAGGGCAGCACAGAGCTCAGCCACAGGCAGGGCGCTGGGAGCCCCGTGCTGCAGGGCTGTGGGCTGAGTGGCTGCTGGGAGGGCCCCGGTCCCCCCGTGTGCCACCCAAACCTTGGGGCTCAGCTCCTGCTTTCACGGAGTTGGCGGACGGTTGCGGAAAGGGAAAAGACGAAGTAGTGTGGTGGGAACCTCTGGGCTGATTGAAAATGTCAGAGATGTCTGCTGTGATAACTCAGCTGAATTCAAAACGAGCAATTTGCTCCATCTGAGGTGGCTGTTGCTGCTTTTTTATTATGACTTAGCAGAGTCGGGACGGAGTAACACTCGTATTTACAAGAAAACAAGGAATTGCACTTTGGAGCTGCAGACATGGGTGAGAGCAGCAGTAGCTGCTGCGTCGCTGCAAGGATGGTGGGATATACAAGAAGGTTCTCCTTCCACTTGTAGCAATAACCCCAGCAAGCGGGCTGACCATAGCTGCCCTAACAAAACCCCACTGCTGGGAACACGTTGGGCTCCACACCTTGCTTAAACACCGTTATACCTCTCTGCTTAAATTGAGTTGCGAATAAAATGGGAAGAACTGAGAAATTCAGTGTCTTCGGGGCAGTTGTATCTGTGTGACAAAGCGTTTCTTGGAACAAAATCCTCAGCAGCAATCAAGGGAGTGAAAGCCGTGCAAAAAGTGTGGCGGTTCAGGCTGGTAATCGGCTTGGCTGTGGCTGCAGGGGAGATTAGCAGCAGCTCGTCTTGGGCAGCACAAAGGGAACATGGATGTGAGACAAGTTACACAAATCAGAATGGCTTTTACCGTTGGAATTTCAGGGAAGAACAAAGCTTCCTGGCTGCTTTCAGCCCGCATTTGTGCGTGTGCAGAAACTCACTGCGCTGCCTGAGAATGTGGGGAAGTGCAGATAATCCTCAGCCAGTTCTGCACGGACGAAGGCTCACTTCATTATGCTCCTTCCTTCTGCTCCAGTGGCAGACAAAGAGCACCAAGCTGAGCATTTTGCCAAACCAGGCTTAAGTCATCCACACAGCACTGAAAAGTGTACTGAAAGCTCTCCCAAGTGGTTTGACATCTGAGCAGATTATGGGTTCCCAAAAAAGAGGTGTAAAAACCCATTGCTTCTCAGGAAGCATAACTGTCCTCAGGATTTAAGGGAAACCAAAAGAATAGGCTAAATCTATAGGTCAAGGTGTGCATTTATGCCTATATTATGACTACACAAGTACTTTCACTGGAGGAAGTAGAATGGCTGCGGGCTGAGGAGGTGGTTGAAATGGCATAGGATCCATTAGTGCGTGCAATGAACCTCACCTAACAGCAGTTTCGTTTCAAGTGTGCAGAATCCCATAATATCTCCAGGTATTTTGGTGGCAGAGACCATAATCTAAGATCTAAGAGAAAGTCTAGGCAAAAATCTCTCTTTCATAAAGAAAAGCACTATCATTAACTACAGCCTCTGCTAAATTTAAATCTGTGTTTAATAACTTTACATTTAGGTCCTAAACCTGCAGGGACCACGCACACCCAAGGACCACCATCCCCAAGGAGCTCACTATGAGACCAGGGCACAGAGGATTTGCTTAGCATTCCAGCCATGCAGTCCTTGGGTCACTCCATGAGCAGCAGTGGCAGAAGCAGAGGGCATTTCTGGAGACAGCACAGCACAACCTTACAGGGGGGAAATGGGTCCCTCTGGCACTGCCCGGTCCTCACCTTGTGCGCCTGGTCCAAGGACTGCTTCCTGAAGTCCAGCTCCTCATCCAGGTAGCCCTTCTGCTTGCTGAACAGCTCCTGGTGCACAGGGAGGTGCAGTCAGTGCTGTGCCTGCCCTCCCTGCCTTCCTGCAGTTCCCCCCCTCCCCATTCCCATACCTTTTCATTCTCCAGATCCAGCATCTTCTGCTGCAGTGCGGACTCAGTCACCTCAATCTGCTGGAGCCACTGTGCACACAAAGAGAGCAGGGCTGAGGCAGAGGCTGGGGGCTGCTGGGACACAGGGCCACAGGCAGCAGTCAGCCCTCACTGGAAATTCAGAGTGCATCTTTGCACTGCAAACATGCAGTTAGCTTCACTGATTGACAAGGGAAGGATGGAACCTACTGTGACACCTTCACTTTTATAAGAATTTGTGATGGAAAAAAAACATTAGTTCCAAGTTTGCCATTTGCCCTCCAACATTTCCCTAATTAAATAGCTTTTTAAACCAAACAGTTTGTGCACATGGCTCGAATTTTCTCTCTATTCTGACAAGAGCCCATTCAGGTAGCCCTATAGGGAATCATGGCCTTTGGTGAACACCCTCTGGTTCATCCCCAGCACCTCCAGCAGCTGCTCTGAGCACCAGGGCTCATCGTGGGGCTCCGCAGCCGTTACCTTTTCAGCCAATGTGAGAACTGTCCTTGCTTGTATGACAACCACTTGCTCCTCGTTGGTCAGGTTCTGCACAAGATCAGAGCAGAATTACAACAAGTCCCGGCGCCTGGCATGTAACCCAGCACTGGGCCACTGCTGTGTGAGATAAATACGAAATTAAATCATTCGAGCAACAATAAACCAAGGCAAATAAAAATAGCATTGTAACGCAGCGTTGCTGTAGGAACAGCTGTAATTAACTACTAATGCTGAATGGTGATCACACAGGTGGGGAGTTCTTCTAAAACTCTGGCATTAAGAAAGAAGATGCAGACACCAGATCTTGTTTTTGTCCAGCAGGGAATAAAAGCAGCTGCACCACACAGAACTGAGCCTCGTGGGACGTGCTGTTAGAGGAGAGGTGCAGTCCTTGGCCTTTCCTTGCATGCACAACAGGTGTGACTGCGGGCACAAGGCTGGAGCAGCAGGGTGGGAGGTGAGCCCTGGGCGTAGGACTGACCTGCCATCACCACTTCCAGTCCCGCATGGCCTGACATGAACAAGGGCTCATCTTTCTGCCTTTCCCAGGGCCAGCCTCATTCACTGATGCTTGGGTTTATGCGCATGCTTTTATTCTCCACACCCCAAGGATTTTAGGATTTGTCACGCTTCTGCCAATACAAGCATCCTTAACTGCAGCAGCAGTAAATATTGCTAATTACTTCAGTATCTTCTGATTGCTCTGCTATCTCCTAGCTTCAGGGCTGTCTGGAGGGGCAGATGGAGGGTCTGAGCAGTGAGAGGTGCTGTTCTGACTGCTCCATGTGCCCCATGCACAGGGACACCCACCTGCAGCTGCAGTGTCTCTGCTACACAGGTGTGTGGGTGCACACAAGATGTGTATGTGCGCAATCACTCCGACTTGATACAGGTGAAACACTTTCAAACTTCTTACTATTTGTTTCTTCTTCTCCTACTGCTGTTGTAACTTGTTGCGTAACATCCTGCTTCCATTTAAACGTTTTTGGCATTGGACAAAACTAAAACACACAGCAGTTAATGGAAATGTAAAGCAAATGCAGAGAACAAAACGTGTGTGAGCAGCGTCGAGAAAAAAAAAAAACAGAAGCACGAAAATCCAAAATTCCCAAGTATTTTCTAAACCATTCATTGGCAATTTAGAAGCAATACTGTGGTATCGAGGTCCTGTGCAGCATTTGCAAGAAGGCACTCAACAAAAGCCTTGACAAGCTGGGGAGCACATAGCGTGCAGCTCAGCGCCCGCTCTGCAGACAGCTTTGGCCATTGCAACCCAAGCAGCTTTGCTACAATAAACGTGAGGACAACGCATACCAAAGCATGCACAATATATTAAAGGAACATACACTTACGGCGTTATCCCCTAAAATGTCCAATTTTTTCATCAGCTCTGCCACTACTATGTCCTAACAAGAGAGGAATGGAAAAAGCAGGAGTCAGAACAGAGTGTCGGATTTGATTTAGAGAAAGGAGAGCCAGACGTGGGGATCCTTACTGTGACACCTTCTGCCTCGCAGTAAACCTGGAGAGGGCTTTTCCCCTCCGTGAAGGGAACGTGGTGGAAGTTGATAGCAGGCGATCTTCTTTCTCTCTCCTGAAAGAAGCATTTTCTGATTACTGCACTGCTGTTGTTGTTACATGCACCAGGATTGCCTCCAGCAGCTGGCAGAGCAGCTCTGCCACGGGCACGGCGGCGGTGCTGGAAGTAACCTGGGGTACTTTTCCTCTCGTCAGCACCTTCACTGAGTGCTGTGTCTCACAACAAGGCAGTCGGGACGGGCCCAGCTGTGGTGCCCCAGCCCCAGTGACACGCAGTGTGGGGCAGCAGCACAGCCCTGCGGCACGAGCTCACCTCCAGCTCCAGGATCCTGAACTCCAGGAGCTCGTTCTGGTCTTTGACGTCCTGCACATCGTGCTTCAGGCGAGCCTCCTCTGCTTCCATTTGTTTGATCTGTACAAGAAAGCAATACGCCTTGGTACCATTTTCTGCATTCCATAAGCAATAGATGTTATTTGAATAACACCAGTAGAAGTGCTGGGCACCTTTTCCACAAGTTCTTGGTTCCTTCTGTACAGTGCTTGCTTCTCCTCAATCCACTTCATGTCCTGGGAAACACAAATGGTTGATAGTATGGGTGAAAACCATCAGTGTTTGGCACAAGCACAGCAGCACGTCGTTCATTAAGTCACACATACAGAGAGGAATGATGCTGCATAGGAAATTGCAACTCTGTTGTTTGCCTGTGATGCAGCAGAGCAACTCATCCATCTTATTTGAGAAAGTCTGGAGAGTACAAATGGAATTTAAAAACTCTAATGACCAAAAAGAACTAAGGTTAAAAAATGTTTGCCTTCAGAGGGCTATGTCTCACCACCCAGTTCCTGTTAAATTTTGGTCACGTGGATGCAAGTCATGTTGGTGGACATGAGGCAGGCAGCCAGCAGCCTGCACTGGGCACTGCCTCCCACCCCCAGCTCTGACAGCTTCCCCACCTTTTCCCTCCTTCAGCATAGCAAACTCTTACCGAGCTACAAGGAAAGCTGGCGATGGAAGCTTACTGTAATGCATGCAGACCAAGCGTTTCGTTAGAGAATGGCCATCCTTCCCTCGCACTCCCCTGCCCACCCTGCACTGCAGCTGCCCCTGGGATGGGGCAGGGGCTGAGGGCATTACCTGCCCCTGCTCCGCCAGGGCCTTTTCCAGGTCCTCTATCTGAGCCTGGGATCGGTGTATCTCTGCTTGGAGCTGCTCACGTGTCTGTAGGAGAGGAGGGAAAAACACCACAGAAATAAATAAGTAAATACAACTTTCCCTAAAAGCCGAAAGCTAACACAGGTACGGAAAATGCTTAAAACATCAAATCCTTTTCACAAATAATTTTAACAGCTCTATGGCAGGGTAAATTCGGGGCTAAGCACGCAGCATTGGTCACTCACTGTGAAACGAAGCCTACAAGATGGCACGACAATTTTAAGATTTTAGATGAACATTCTGGTGGTAGGTACAAGAACGGGACAGGACACATGGCTTCTTACAGCCGACCACAGGAGGTGCAGCTGGCAGCCCTCTGTGCTCCACAACGAGGGGGGTGACACCAGCAGGCAATGCATGCATTCGTCTCGCCATGAAAACCAGTGCAAGGAGTGATGTGGGACTCAGCAGAGAGCACACTGTGTGAGCAGGGACACACTGACAGCACGCACTGCTCCCTGTGCACTCAGTGCCCTTCCTTCTGCTCCTACTGCACGGTATGCCATTCTCACCCACGCTCATAGCTTCCTTCTTAAATATCCAACGCCTCCCTGCATTTTTGAGGGAGAGCACATGGAACTGTCAGTAGCTGTTTTATTCATCAAATGCTATGTTTATAGAATGTTTTCTTTTCTCAAACCATTTATCTGCTCTTTATCCTGTCGTTTGCAAATGAAAATGATCCTTTTTTGATCGCTATGCCTGCATCTTTCTCTTAGGCTTCAGACTGCCAGCTGAGAGCACCCTTACTGGCTGTGTTCTCCCTTGCACTCTGTGCCCCAGCAGCTACACGACACACTGTGTCCTTGTAGCACAGAGCAGATTCCTCATGACCAGAACGTCTTACATCTGATAAGACATCAGGTAAGGAAATGCCACTAGAGGCGATGAAGCTGCGTGGCCATGTGAGCCAGGCAGACAGGCAGAGCTGCACAGGGCACTTGGAAACCTCATTAAGAAGATGAATTTTGGGGCTATAATCCATATTATGAAGAATCAAATAATTAGAATCCAGAGGAACTGAATAACAGGCATCATGCATTTAAGGTCAACCATAGTGGACTTTTATAGAAAGAGAGCTTAATTTTAAGGATTTCCCATTAAAAATCTGGCTGAATTTCTCTTAATCTGATCACGAGGTGAAAACAGCAGAAGGAATTCACCTCGGCAAGCAGCGCAGGCTGTAGTGGGCTGGGCAGGAGGGAGGGAGTGGGGTGGGAATGGGGATGGGACCCCCCCATGGGATCCCCAATCCCACAGCCCAGCCAGGTGCCAGAGGGCAGCTGACAGCTGCAGTGTGAAGAGGTACAACAGCACGGTGCACACAACAACAGCCCTTTAGTGCATGTAATATAAGCCATTTAGACCTTAACTTCTCGCTCTGCATCCAATGTTCCTCCGACCTGTTCCTGCAATAGGGCGTAAGCGCGCTGCAGAGCCTGGTACTCCATCGTCAGCTGCCGGAACCGCAGTTCTGTCTCTTCTTTGGCCATGCCCTGAAATTGTTCAAAACAAGAGGTAATAAGTTAAAATAATAACAGTAATAATAACAGATGAGTGGATAATTGCTTTCTCTGGAAGCACTTCTCTAGAAGTGCTGAAGTCACTACTATTAGAATGCAATTTGGGAAGTGCAGCACTGAAGACCTTGTTTGTGTGCTCACACTATTGCTCTTCTGTCCAGTAATCACCTCCCGCATACACCTTACTAAGATAAAATATACAATTATATAAAAGAAACAGAGAGAATCTCCTTCTCCTTGAGAAGATGAAGACTTCTGTCTGAGTCATACACTAGTAACTGGGTGACCCTATATTACTTTACCAGGCAAAGCCATCACACGTGAAGGTGAAACCAAGCTTTCTTGCATCACGAATAGGTTTCCAGTCTGCAGATTGACTCACACCTAACATCTCAATTATTAAAACAGGAATCTGGAGATACCAGCTGCAGAAATGGTGACATCAACAGGAAGAGCACCTTTCGTCTTCTTTCCCCTCCTTACCACATCCAGCACTGCGTGCTTCCATGTCAGGCTGACCACAATATTTCACTCTACATGAGATGAAATGACACTGTGGGTGCATGCAGAAGCTCAGAGCTGTCTGCATGGGGGGAAATGGCAATAGAAGAGTGAAAAACAAATAGGTTCCAAAAAATAGATTCAGCCTCCTGCAGTGCAGCTCGCACCTGGCAACCACTTGTGTATCTTTTAGGGTAGAAATATCATTGTTTAAGTTCCCTTTCAGAACCAAGAGATCTTATTACAACCTATGAAACAAAGTGACAGAAGAGAAACTGCAGCTATCATAGCCTGCAATGGCTACTGTCACTGTTAGCAAGTGGTGTTCATTACAAGGCTCTTGTTAAGCTGAGGAACAGGGCTGGCATACACCAGGGAGTGCATCTGTAGGGAAGAGGTGCAGAATGCTGGAAACAATCCTTTCCCTCCATTAGACACACTCAGAGTCCCAGAAACACCATATCCTCAGAGCATTGCAGGGAGCCAGCTCTTCCCCAGCACCGTGCTGGCTGCAGAACCCAGGGCAGCAGGGTCATACTGCTCATGGCTGCACTCATGCCAAGCTCCGGATGACAGAGGAGAAGCAGGGTGCATGTTGAGTGCAGGAGAGCCACGGGAGCAGGCCTTCCTCAGGGCACCTGGGACCTCCCCTCTCCAGACCCACTCTGGACCCAGTGTCTTTAGGATAACAGTATTTCCAGTTAGGCTAAAAGCTGTGAAGTTACCAAAAACCTGAGACCCAGAAACATTACCCATCACACCCAGTGTGACATCAGCACCAGTCTGTAATGCTGTGGTCAGAGCCGACCAGAGGTGGACAGACCAAGGGTTCCACTGCACAGCAACAGCAGGTTCAACGCCCAAAACACACCACGCAGCTCCGTGAATACCTCTTCCAGGTCATCATCAGGGGTGCACGGGGTCTGGTCCGTCCGATCCGTTTGATATGAGATAGAGGAACCATCAGACTCCAAGGAGGCTTCTTCATCGTAGCCGAAAAACGTCTCCACCACCGGCTTCTGGCCAGAGAGAGGTGTCAGCGTGTCCTCGCGCCGTGCCCCGCACTCAGCCGCTGGGCCTGGCTTGGGAGGGCTGTAGGAACTCTCTCCTACCCTGCAGCTTGTGGGGTTTGTGCGCACGCCCCGTTGGACACCACCCCCAGCCCTGCCCCCAAGCCGTGCCATGGGGGCAGCCTGCTTTGGCCCTGCACTCACACCCCGTTCCTCCCCCAGCCCTCACAGCCGCTCTGCCCACCGTGCCCATCACAAACCAGCTTGTTTTTTTTTTTTGCTTTTTTCTTTTACCTTAGGAATTCTTGTCATTTTTTTCCTTTGCTTCCTATACCTTAACAGCTTATCACGTTCCTGGAACAGCAGATACAGAGCAGTTAATTAAGTTAACCACTGCAGTTTTCATAGTCACGAGGCAACCTAAGACGGCAGTGCTGGACTGGTTTTAATTTTGCTCCAATGTCTTCTGAGTTTACAGTAAACAACTGTCAAATGCTCTTCGTGGTCATGAAAATCCAAATAGCAAAACAAACGCAGGACAGCACAGGCACCGCTCTGCACCCTGCTCCATGCAGTGAGGCTCTGTGCTGGGACAAAAACAGAGCCCAGCCCTCTGACTGCTCTGTGCCACGCATGCATGTCATCGCCCAGATTGCACAGAATTCTGAGGCTGTTTGCAACAAGCACATCCAAAGCCAACAACATTAACAGCAAGCCCAAGCCAAACCCGCCTGCATTCCCCAAGGATGTGCAGCTCTCAGAGACTCTGATGAAGGGGCTGAGCCTGTTCTGCTGCCAGCCAATTTTTCTCTTTGCTGGTAATTATGCCTCTCTTCATAGAGTGCTATTAATTTTTTATTGTGCTGATTACTTTATTATTGTTATTCTGGATGGCACATCCATGCAAACTCTGGAGCTGAAGAGCCAGTGAATTCCTACAAGGATGCTCTCCCACTGCCTCACCTCAGCCCTTTGCTGGAGGGTGTGCTTATGCTGGGACACTCCTGCATTATCCGCAGTGACAGAGAAAAATCAAACACTTGTTTTTTGCTTGGCAACATAAGCTTGCTGCACACTTAGCAATGGAAAGCAAAATGGTACAGATGTTTGGTGCATATTGGTGGCTAAACTTAATGAAATCTTCAGCACCAAGAGCCAAGGGATGAGTTGTGCAGGGCCCTGTAGGGGAGCTGCTGTGGGTACGATGAGGCAAGGCTGGGATATCCTTCCAAAAACACCCCAGTGATGTGGCAGAGCTGTCCCACAGATGGGCACCATGTGCTGTGCCACTGGGACGAGCCAGCCCTGCTGCCATCTGTGGTGTCCTTGGGACAGGGGAAAGCTTTCCTCTCTCAGCAGAGCTCTGCTCCACACTGGCACTGCATTGTTATACAAAGAACAACTGCTGGTAGGGCCTTCAGTGGCAACGGCACTGGAACAGACACTGAGTTACTTTGCTGTCCAGAAAGGGAGGAAAGTGACAATAAGTGTCTCTTGTGTGCTTTTCATGACCTGCATTTAAAATATGTAAAAAGATGAGGGTAAAGTTAGCCTCTCACGTACCATGACACTCTTCACATAGCCGGCAGTTTCCAGGGTCTAACAAAAAAAAGAATGAAATAACTTCAGTAAAAGTGGATACAAGAAATAACCCACAAATAAAACAAACACACTTTTCTTGAGGAGTGGTCTGGTCACAGTATGTGAAACACTTTCATCTGCTCTTTTCAAAGACTGAGCACAAGTTAGCAAAGAAGAGAAAACCAGAGCACAGTGCTGCAGAATGCGCCCCTTGTTCATGCAGCAGTTGCCCCCAGGCCCGGTGCTGCTCTGGCTGAAGGAGTCTGGGCAGTTTGCTTTGCTGGTGCAGGATCCGGCCGCTGGCGTGTGTGTGCTGGGAGCACTGCAGTGGTCGTGCTGTGCAAGCACTACATGGGATGAAGGATTCTGTCCAGATGCTGTCCCACATATAACCTAGATTCAGGTCAGTGACTGCTGATCACAGACACCAGCTGTGCTCCCTCTGCTGCTGTGCCCTCCCTTGGGCTTCCCCTCCTCTGTGTGTCCTCAGATGGCCTCCTGTCTGTGGGGCACTGTTCCACCTTACCTTAGAGAGCTCATCAATGATATTCTGCTGTTCGATGATTTGTAGTCTCAGCAGATCCACTTCTCTTTCTTCCTGGCTGTGGTCGAGGTCATTTAAGGAGCTCGGTCTCCGCATTGCTCCTGCTCTTTGCCTCTGAAAGAAACCCATGTGGCAAAAGAGGAAACGATCCAGAGGCTTTGCTGAAGAGCTGCATTCAGCCTTTCCCGTTCCCAGCTATTAATGCACTCATCTAGCAGCTGTGCTCACAGCTGCCCCTTGGTTCTGCGGTTCTGCCCACATCCCAGGCCATTCTCCTGCTGGAGAAGGCACTCAGGGGGCTGTGGCCACCAGCTCTGCCTGCTGTGCTGTGCACTCGTGTGCACCTGCAGCAGCCCGGGTTGCTGTGCTCTGGGATGATGAGGGGCTGAGGTTGGCCCCGTGGTGATGGCATCTATGAGTGTCACCACCAACAGCTGTTGCTCGTGGCTGCCAGCAGTGCTGGAGGTAATGCTGGAGGGGAAGGGAGAGCACAGTGGGTGTGGGCTCCCTTGGGTGATGGGGTGACTGTGGTACAAAAGGCAAAGCTGAAGTGAACTGCTTTGTGTTTGTGTTGTAACAGCGCTCTGTGACCGAGCAGCCATCTGATCGACATCCACAAAGCTCACACAGTTCCTTTTCTTCACAACTATTGTTCTGTCAGGCCAAAATAAAGCACGTTATACAAAAGAAAACAAGCTGAAGCCACAAAGCACTCAGGGCATCACAGCAAACAGCAGAAAGGAGAAGGAATTCCCAAGCACCTCACAAGCTGTGGTGCTGCTGTCGCGTTGCCCTGTGGGCACGGGTTGCCTGTTCTGGGATGGCTCTCATTCCCAAACTTACCATTGCTATGTTTTCCTGCGTTACAAATTTTAATTTATTTTCCATTCGACGTAAGGCATGTGACAGCTCTTCATTCTTCCTGCTGAGGCGTTTGTTTTTGTCCAGGATGGGCTTGTACTGACTTTCAGCTTCTCTGAGGCGTTTTAACTGAAAAATTAAGAGAGAATTGGTACCTCAGGAACAATTATGTATTATCAAATAAATTAATCATTTTCTTTCCCTACTATAGTAGCAGTACTTTCTCTTAATATGTAGCAGAATATATCAGGAAATTCTTGGTATAGCCCATTGGGGAGTGGGTTGTTCCTCACTTGTGAGGTTTGCAACAAATATAGCATGTGGGGAATGTATTTATTGAAAACAATTATAATCACAGAATCACTGAGTGGTTTGGGTTGGAAGGGACCTCATGAATCTCCAACCCTCTGCCACAGGCAGGGCCACCAACCTGCACATTTAATGCTAGACCAGGCTGCCCAGGGCCCCATCCAACCTGGCCTTGAACACCTGCAGGGATGGACGGGGCATCACAGCCTCTCTGGGCAGCTGCTCCAGCACCTCACCACTCTCATAGCAAAGAACTTCCCCCTGACATCCAACCTCAATCTGCCCTCCCTCAAACCATTTCCCCTTGTCCTGTTGTTATCTGCCCTTTCCAGGAGTTGTTTCCCCTCCTGTTTGTAGGCTCCCTTTAGGTACTGCAGGCTGCACTGAGGTCACCCCACACCTCCTCTTCTCCAGGCTGAACAAGCCCAGCTCCCTCAGCCTGTCTTTGTAGGGGAGCTGACAACTCTTGCCAATTCCTTCTTAAAAAAGACACCGTTTTATAAGCAAAAATCAGTGTGATCAGTGCTGTAGCAGCGCAGTGCCCATCCCAGCGGCTCACCAGCTCGTTCCTCTCCTCCGACAGCAGCGCATTGCGGTCCTCCAGCTTCCTGATGATGGCACTCAGCTCGGCGATTTTCAGTTGGAAGCGCCGCGCATCCTTTTCATCCAACTGCTGTTCCTAAAACAAAGATCAACTGCAAATAACTGCTCCTAAGTGCGCAGGGAATAGCAGTGTTATGCAAAGCTCAGCCTCCTTTTTATCCCGAATCCAAATATTTCAAAGCTATCAGATGGAAGAGTGTAAGGTACGCTTTAGTGGAGCTGACCACTGAGAGCTGCAAGATGGGACCGATGGAAAGGCAAGAGTGAAAATGTAACAAAGTATGCAAATGCAAAGTATGTATATGCAAATACAAGGTGGAAAATGCTAAACTTGGAAATAGAAAACATAAAAAAACAAGGCAGTGTTTCCAATGTATGCCACTGTTGAACTGAGTGTTTCAGACACGTCACCCACTCCGAGGACTTTGTTATAAGATGGTATCAGAAGTACTGACATACAAATGGGGAAAATCCATGCAATTATACCATTGCATAAGCTCTCTTCCATAAAGCTGTGGCCCTTATTGGGTAGAGTCACTCGTAAAGCAAATGGGGCAGCAGTTTATCTGAGTGAAAATGCTTAAATCAATTCATAAATGAAGAGAAATACAGGTAGGTGCTCTCATTCAGAATCAGAGAAAAGTTACATCTATTTACAGGTGTGACGTGCTATTTTTTCCTCCTCTGTACTTATTCTGATGTTTGGCAGAAGTTGAGCACAAATCAAAAGAAGCAAATTAGTGCCCTCAGTCCCGGTGGCACTTTCTGGAGGTCTATGATTCCTCATTCAACAGGTGCAGGAGAGGCTTGGGATAAAGAACAAAACAGATCGCTTTGCTCATGTGTGACTATTTACACTTCTACTGAGAAAATTAAGGCTGTTGCAAAGGAAATCTTGATGAGAATCAGCAATGGAGAAAATTGGCAAATGTGAGACATACAAGGTTAGTTAACTGAAGCTTTCTGCTGTTAGCAAATTAAGGCAAAAGCAGAAAGGTGCTGTTGTTACAATTAAAAAAAAACAACAAACAACATCGTGAAAAGATGACTAAGATTTAATGTTTTGGATATTGTGTTGTAGAAAAGAGATAGGAAAGAAGAGGTTAACAGGCTTCTAATTGACCTTCTGGCCCACTGAAAGCAATTGCAGCGCGAGGATGGAGGAGCAGGGAGTGCAGCACGTGGGCTTCCAGTGCTTGTGCACTGGGCGCCTTCACCCGCCTCCCTCTGTAAAGCAGCCTTGCTCATCTGCTTGCACAGTACATTGTCAGCAGTTCCAACAGCTAGCACACATACATCGCTTGGTTAGAAAAGCATTTGCATCATTTGTTGGCAAGAATTGTGTCAGACGGTCAAATTAAGGCGGGTGGTAGAAGAATGGTACGGTAAGGAAAGGAAAGAAGAGAGAGAGGAAAATTTTCACCCTGGTATCAAAAACAAACAAAGGAAACCAGAAAACAAAACGACAAACAAGCAAAAGCTCTCCCATAATTTGGTTCGGTTTGAAATGTTAAACATCCAGCTAATGAACGAGAGCGAGAAATTAACGCCTCTCCGTTTCCCCTGGGTCACTATGGGAAAGCTGTTGCTCACAGGGCACTCATCAAGATCCTGTCATTTGGTGTCATTTGGTCATTCTGCTCGTTCGTTTGTTTAGGTGAAACCACGTGAAAGTGCTTACGGGGCTTCCCGAATGATCTGAAGCGTCTCCTGCACCACTTGCATAAGGAAGTTCCCGCTTGGGGCTGCCCAGGTGCCGGTCAGACTCTTTGATCTGGGACAGTTGTTCATCTAAAGCCTCCTTTTGGAGCTGCAGTCTCTGGGCATGCCCGGCTTGAACCCCTAACTCTCTTTCCAGCACGTAGACTGCTCTGTCTTTAAACTTAATCTCCTCCATCTATAAGGAGAACAGAACACAATCACACACACATGCAGCAGCTCGGCCGTACGAAGCGCCCTACAGCCCAACCATTGCCACAGAGCCAACCCCTGGACATGAAGACAAACCCTCCTCTTGCAAACACAACAGCAAGGAAAAATGGACAACGAACAAACCCAGCATTGCTTCAGTAACTCATGAGCATTGTGCATGCACGTGTGGCCGACCGACAGCTTCTAGAGACCACCCCAACTTTTCAGGAGTTTTTCTTTAAAGCAGTTAGGAGACAACCCGCAGTTTCAGTACCACTTCAGAACACCCCCCTTCACTTCAGTGAACAACAAAAGTAAAAGGGATAAAAAAAATAATAACTTTGAGAGAAAGAAGTTAAAAGTTGAACATTGTCAATGCTCGAAAGGTTTTTCTTCCCAAAAGTTTCCTTTTGAGTGATTTCCTTGATGATCTCCGCAGCAGGGCAGCCCTGGGCTCCTCAGGGCAGTGCAGACAGGACGATGCCAGGGCTGCCAAGGACAAGCAGTTGTGCACTGGGGCATTTGCCTGCAGGTGTGTGCAGTGCTGCAGCACGACCTCAGGCCCTTCACAGCTGCATTGTGCTCATACACACAGTGTGTGAACGTGAAGCATTAAGTGCACACACACACCTCTGGGTGGCCAGCTGTGCTTACAGGGAGTGGATCTGGGAAGCTCGAGATTGCTAAAGCACGCCCACTGAAGCACCTGTGCTCTCCAGGCACAACACGTGCATCCTGGGCAAGTGAGGTTTTAAGCAGTTTTGAAGCTGGACACATTTCGTTTAAAGGGACTCTTTTAAAACATGGCCTGCTCAAATAAGAATGCTTTGCCATGCGAGGACTGGATTTGACACGTTTATCTCTTTGTGATAGCTTTGTCTGTGACCTGGAAAACAGTGTGAAAACTTGGGGAAGAATGGCACAGCACATGGACACATCTCTCCAAGGATGTTGTCCCTGCCTCCTGGGAACAAGTGCAGGTTCTCTTTGTAAAATGCTGAAAACAGGAGCTGCTCAGCTGCACATTAGTATGGGTGCTCTGAGGAATTCCATTAAGGCAATGATCTGCTGACTGTGACTCAGATATATCTGTAGAGGCCCTTCTGCTAAATATCTAAACAGTTAGAATCATAGGTTGGTTTGAGTTGGAAGGGACCCTAAAGATCATCCAGTTCCAACCCCCTGCTGCAGGCAGGGACACCTCCCGTAGCCCGGGTTGCTCACAGCCCCATCCAGCCTGGCCTTGAATGCTTCCAGGGAGGAGGCATCTGCAGCTTCATTGAGCAAAGAGATCAATAGAAATCAATATGGATCCATAAAGGAAAAGATAATGCACCATCAAACGATTATTTGCTTAAAATAGATAGAATGTTGGTGGTTATCTCTATTTTTGTGAAAGCAGAGTCAAGGTACTACACGAATAGCACTTTAAAAGGAATAAAGATACAGCAGAAAATGCACTTTTAACACAGTGCCTCAGCAGTGGTCTATGTTTTAGAAAAAAGCCTAAAAGAACATGTGGTGAACAGCTGAGGAAGCATCAGTGGCCACATTTCCTTTCTTAGGATGAAATTCACATTCATGAAGCACATAAAACAATTTGATGCTGCCATCTCACTATTAAAGTGAAATGGTGTGGAAGCAGTACCAAAGGAAGGAAGCATTTCACTGCAGTTGTTATCCAGCACATTTCTTCCTTGCATCACAGACATCAACAGGAGGGGTAGATGAGGTCCTGGTAGCAGTGCCAGCCATGAGCACAGCTGAGACCAGTTATGCAAACCTAATTGCATGCGGAGCACAACGTGTTGTCCTCTCCTTGTGCTCTCCAGTGCAGTTCCTAGCATGGTTTTCACACTTAGCTGGTCTTAAGCCTTGTGGCTCTTTTAAAATGCATTATTTCCACAATGATTTTAAAACCTACATGTCGGTTTCCCTGCTTGGGAAATTTCTACTTGTGATGTTCTTGGGGCTTTGCAAATTCTGCAGACACCTGCATTTGATGCACATGAAAGAAAGGCAGCCCTCCATGGGCAGCAGCTGAGATGTCAGTGAGAGCAGCCCTTTGCAGCAGAGCCATTCCCTAACAACCTCCCTGCCTGCATCGTGTCCTAGACAGCAGCCAGGGTGTGCAAGGGGAGAGCCAGCAGGTAGGGAATGTGAGGGGACAACACTGGCCAGAGAAGGACTCTGTCTGCAGGCTGACTGAACTCCAGCCAAATGTTTGTGACGTGCCCAGGGAAAGCAGCATGCCCAGCAATGCCCCTGCTGACACATGGACACTGGACATGGACACTGGAACAGGTTGCCCAAGGAGGCTGTGGATGCCCCATCCCTGCAGGCATCCAAGGCCAGGCTGGATGTGGCTCTGGGCAGCCTGGGCTGCTGGTTGGTGACCTGCACACAGCAGGGGGTTGGAGCTGGATGAGCACTGTGGGTCTTTTCAACCCAGGCCATTCTATGGTTCTATGGATGGTGATGGGCTGGGTCAGATCCAGCCCTGCAAAGCACCCGCATTCCTGAGTGGGGTGGCATCAGATGGAGGCCATATGAATGCATCTGAATTCATGTATCTGCTGCTTTACATTGTTTTGAAATGTACAAATTAAAAATTGAAGTTTACTAAAACCAGAAGGGACGTTGCCATATGGACTTGTTACTGTCTGCAATATGACTCTTGTCTCTTACGTTAACGTCTTGGAAGCATCTGAGCCAGGAGAACTGGTTTTCAGTAATAGTTTGAGGGTTTTGAGAAGTGCTTCCCTTTCATAAAGAACAGAGTTTTCCACGGAGCACCACACCAGCTTGGAACATCACGGCCCTCCCCCGTGAGGTGCCAGCGGCTCCATTGAAACCAACTGTGGTCAAGTCAGTGGAACAGAGAGAGCTTGATGTCATTCAGGAAGCACTTAGGGCCTGGTAAAGCGATGGCATCGTGTAATTTAATTAGTATGGTTAGATAATCTGATTCATTGAAGCAGGAATAAAAAAAGTTTGATTTCCAAAGGCAATTTAGAAAACATGACATTCAGTCGCTCTATTCTTCATAACTAAGGACATATTTATTTTATAACTTCTACATTAGAGGCCATTAGCGTGGATTTTATTGTAATGCCTTAAGTTTATTTAGGATGTACATTAGCCATCCTTTCACTGTGATGTATTAAATCAATGCATCCAGCAGTGTATGTTTAGAGAAGAATTACTTACACTGCAGGATATTTGAACAGCACTGACAGATCAGTTGGTTGTAAATTGTTTTAACATCCTCGTCTTAAAAGAAAATAATATATGAGGGGAAGAAGCAATGTGAATTCTGAGAGAGCGGGTGGCAGAGTACAGGGTGAGCAGTGCTGCAGGGCATTCCATGGAGAGACCACACTGCCTTGCCTTCACATGGGGCCATTTTATTCCTGGTGCTGGTCTGTGTCAACTCCGTGACATAGAACCATGACAGTCCAGTTGGCTTTGATTTAGCTTTCTTAATACTCAAGTGAGAATGGGTTAGAAGAGACATTTATGAGTTTATCCTGAGACACTGCATACCTTTAAAAACATGGCAGACCCCAAAAGATGGTAGCATCAAATAAATACTGAAAGAAAACCCAAAATACACCACATTGGAGTATGGGTGTTCAATTTGTTCCTGTGTTCTTGGGAATGGTAGCAAGGTTAGGAGAGTCCTGCAGATGGGCTGTGCTGCACTCAGAGGCTGTGGGAGAATGGCAAGGCAAGCAGCCAACTGCCAGTGCAGGAGGAGCTGTTCCAAACTCCAGAAAGTGCAGGTGGCTACCAGGTTTGCTTGCAAAAACTTCCCTTCCATGGGGAATTCTCCTGTTTTTCTTTAAATGGCACATTCTAACATCCCTAACTAGCTTCCAAGTCCATTGGATTTGTATTCTGAAGCTGTTGGTGTGTAGCTTTTGAGATCCAATCTGTCGTAGCTGAAACTCAAATGGTCTGAAGAGCTGATTGAAACACACAGATGCAGCAAGGCTCAGATGGGTCCACGGAGAGGACTGTCACTGTCTGCCCTGGGGGAAAGCCACTGAGGGGGGACGCAGAGGGGAGAATTCCTCCTGAGCACCCTGCAGAGTGGTGGGGTCATCACCTCCAGGCTGCAGGGCTCAGGACTCTAGGATGGGAGAAAACAGCATGCTGGGATTGCATACAGCTTGTTATGGAATGTTTACAGGAACCAGCAATGGGGAGGGATGGAAGTTGGTCAGTGAGGAGCAAAGGGTGGGGAAAGAGACGGGGGGAAAGGGATGAAAGGCTGCAGGAGGCCAAAAGCATGGCTATTTTGTGGGATTCCCCTCACACAGCTGGCAACAAAAGGCCTGTTCCTCACATCTGAAACATGGTTTGTACCAATAAGCACTGACAGAGGTAAAAAGAAGCTCCATACAAAATCATCCCAAGCAGGTTTAAAAAAAGACACTTGGACATCACTATTAGCCATCAGAAAATGGGTCTGGAGTAAGCTCCGAAAGTTTGGTTGCCCATCCTCATGCATCTAAGCAGCCCAGCACTTTCATTGAACCGCTATCAATAGCAAAAGCGTTAGTAAAAGCACTGGGACAGACAGCAACACATACCAGCCTGCGGATTTCCCTCTCACACTCCCTCTTAATCCTGGTGATTTCCTCTTGGTGCAGGTGATACACGCTCCTTATCTCTGCGGCTTTAATTTTGTCAGCTTGGATGACCATAGTCAGAGCCTCCTCCACTTGTTTCTTAGCCCCCTTAAGTTCCGAAATTTCCTGCTGCATTTTTATTTTCTCTACCTCGAAGCCCCTCTTGGCCTCCTCCTTGGCCTCTGTCAGCAGCACGGTTTTCACCTTGTCGGGAGCCCCGTCGCGCACAGCAGTCAGCAGGGCCTGGAGTCTCTGGATTTCGTTATCTTTGATTTTTATTACTCTGAGCAGTTCGGCCTCGTGCTGTCTCAGCAGTGCTTCCCGAACAGCTTGGAGCTCCTTCATTTTCTCTTCGTGAAGTTTGACTTTGAGCTCTGTGACCACCACTGTGCTTTTGTGCTGCTCGTGCTCTTTGATTTGCTTCACCTCCTGATTCTTCTCTCTCTCCAACTTGCTGACCTGCATGGAAAACCAAACAAGAGCAGCATTTTTACGAACAAAATGATTACCAGAAATTCTGAGATAATCTAGGACAGATATGGATCACATTATTGTATCAGACCTAATGTTTTACATCTGTGCCTGGGAGAGCTGGTGCTACCGATGCAGGAGTACAAATGTCCTTTGTCTCAGGTGCTTTAGGAACCCTCTTCAGAAGAGCTTTTGGGTACCAATGGGATCAGCAGGCACTGCCTTGGCTGCTCTGGCATCAGATCCATCCCTTAGCAGACCTCACTGCTCCCCCTGCCTTCATGCTGTATGCTTCAAAAAGAGAAATTTCCTCTCTTGAGGCATTTCATTTGAACAAAATGCACAATACGAAACCCTTTTCCTCAAGGAGAAGGCCTTTATGATTTGTGGGAAAGGTTCTTTGTGCTTCCCATCTGCAGTGCTGCTGGACTCCAGGTCTGGCCCCATCAGATGGGGCCCTCGATGGGGCCCCAGTGCAGCCGGGGGTCTCAGGGCTGTGTGTGATTCCAGGCACACCAGTAACACCAGGATCACATTTGTCACAGCCCTAATAGGATCCGTCCCCTCCCACGGAAGCACCAAATGTTCACCATGTAGCTACCAGAGCCAGTGTAGCTGCACGTAACCAAAACTGGTGGTGGCAATGGATAAAACTCTTCAAATGCAACTGGTCCTCTGTGTGCTGTGGCTATGAAATAGTGCACTTCAATGAGGCACTAAGTCAGAGATCCTTTCCTTTAATTCTGACCACAGTAGCAGTGAATGCAGCTGTGTGCATGGGGGGTCACACTTGCACACGCACCGGGAGAGCTGGTACTGCTGGCAGCAGCCACCAGTGGTGTCCTGGGGTACCAGTGTGCCACAGGTCCTAGGGGACAATATCCACCTCAGTGGGAGCAGGTTTGGCACAGCAGCAGGCGTTGCAGTGCAGTGTATTCCAGCATGTATCTGCTGTAGCACTCGTGGCGTTTGCATACGTGACCACCTCCTTTGAGCAGCTTTGCTCAGGGGCAGGGAGCACAATTCCATTTGCTCTCTTTTCTGCTCCACGTTGTTTATCAGATCAGTCTGTGCATATGTTCAAATGCCAAGATTAGGAAATGAATATTTGGTACTTTATAATTATTTACTTACTGGGAAAAAAAGGTCAGGTCAATTCTTTTTAGCGAAGCTGCGTTTGTCTTCCTATGGTGACACAATAAGGCTTCCTTGCTAAGAATATGTCTAAGTCTGTCTCCCAAATGAGAGCACTCTATAGAACTAAACACTGAGGCTGCAAAGGAAAAACTGCAACGTTACAGAGAACTGGAAGAAAATAATTTGAGAATAGGAGAAAAGGAATCCTGACAGCTCAATAGAAAAGACTTTGTCAAGAAGTCAGCCTCAGTGGTAATATCCGTATATTTTAATAATCCCTTGCGGTCTCAGAGACTTCAGTTTGCCTGATTTAGTGCCCGAGAAGCATTAGCTGACATGTAAGTGTAATAAATTTCTGCAAGAAGCACAAAACCCAAGTGAACTAAGCACTAATATCCAAACACCACATGAGGCAAATGCTCAGAAACTGGACTAACATGTCTGTGATACAAGCTATGGACAGGATTACGTTTCATACACACCTAAGAATTAGCCAGCACCTTCCAGAGAAGTCTGAGCCCTTTACTTTCTGGCTGGGTCTCTGAAGAAGCCCTCCTGCCACATCCCATGGGGCTGCTCAGGCACAGACCTGAATGCAGCTGTCTGCACACGCAGGGAGGTACAGAAAGCCTGGCGACAACTGCTGCGAAGCCCCAGACAGCAGAATTTGATCAGGTGCTTTTTCAGAGATGAATTCTGCATTGCAAGTAACAAAATGTACCTGACCACAGAAGGGTCAAATGATATTTCAGTTCAAAACCGTAGCAGGAACTCAATAGAAGCTATGATGAGAAGCCATGTATCAAAAAGGGGATGGCAGTGGGATGGAAAGCAGCGTCCTTGTTCTTAAAGCTGCAGACCCTGCTTCACCACGCAATTATTGGTTGCCGCCCTATTGAAATGTATGTGTGTGTGTTGCCTTGGCCAACTTCCTTAAAAATTAGAATCGTAGCCTCCAGCGTCACATCTCGGGGCCGATTGGTACAGAGCACAGCGCTGCGCTCGCGGGCACTGCGTGCCTCTACCGGGGCTGCGTCCCGGCGGCCACGCAGGGCTGATGGCTGCCGCGGGGCCGCGGCTCCGGCCTGGGAGCGGGGCGCCTTGTGCTGCAGCACGGGGGAACCGCTGGATGGGCTTCCGAGCTGGATGGGAACGGACCAGCTCGCTTCACACAGGGTCGATCCCCGCTGGCCACGTGTTTCCCAAGGCACGGCAACGGGCTGCGCGCGAGGCGGAGGGCCGAGAGGGGTGGGAAGGAAGCACACCTTGCTCTTCTCCTGCTGGAGCTCGATCTGGATGTCGGTGAGCTTGGCCCGCAGCTCCTCGTTGGCGGCCTGCAGGGCGGCCAAGGCGTCGGGCCTGGCGCGGCTGCTGCCCCTCCTCGACATGGTGCGGCCCCGCGTCCCCCTGCGGTGCTGCTCCTCCGGCGCTACATCTTCTCAGCCGCCTGCAGGGAGGGAAGCAGACGTGTGAAGGCAGGGCTGGGCAGCGCTGCCGGGCGCCGGCGTCCCCTGTGGGCACTGCGTGGCTCTGCCCGGGCTGCGCACCACCGCCCTGTGACCATCCACAGCCAGGTTTATGGTCAATAAACGTGCCTGATAAATACGGGTTTGCCGCCGCGAGGCGTCAAAGGACGGGCTGCGTGCCGGCATCTCACCCCACGCTGTGCGAGCGGTGCTTCAAAGGCACGGAAACCCATCCGTGCCACGAGCTGCTGCGGCCTTTCTCACTCCTCCGCCCGTCTCCCGTTGCAGGGAGGAGCGCCGAGCTGGGAGCTGGGATTCGGGAACTCGAAGCTCACACCTCCAGCTCAGGTGCTCCGCCTGTGGTGCGTGAGGCTGGCTGGAGCTCAGCCTGCGCTGCTGGGTGCACAGCACACCGTTTACTCCACTGGCTGTCACTGAAACGTTTCTCACCGTTCATCTCATCATTCACCTGCACTTTGCATTCACACAGCACGGAGGATGTGGACTGTGCTCTGTTGGACTCAATGATCCCGGATGCCATTCCTAGCCTTAGCAATGCCTGGCCTTCCACCTCCAGTCTCAAGGCACCCTCACGGCTCTGGCTGGGAAATCTGCTTCCAGTACGGGCAGAAAAATGTCTCACATAAAAAAGTTTGCTTTCCTCCAAATAACTTTAAGAAAGCAATGGTAAACATAATAAAAGTGATAGAAATAGCAAGAAGTTATAGGAACAAGCAGGGGTTGCACAAAGCCCCAGAAGATCTCTGTGCCAGCACACGTTTTGTTGTTTGGGAGCAAAGAGCAGAAAGGATGGCGCTTCAGAACACAATTGAAGGTTGAAGAATAGCAAAAAATCTAATGAAAAATGCTTTGCTGGAGAAGTAAGTTGCTAAGATAAAGCCAAACTGCAGACAGATTGCATGCATTCATCAGTTCCAAAATCCATTGGAATGCATTTTTAACTGCCACCACACTTCTGTTTTGAAATAACAATTTGTTTCCAAATTTTGGTGAATTCATACAATAAAACATACACAGAAAGCTCTCATTTGGAGAAGTATTCCCAGACTCCTTAACACTAACCTTATTAATGCAGATAAAAATGCTTTTAGACAATGACTTTGAATGCACTGAGATATTCATCTTGATTCATAATGAAAAGCACAGTAGAGCAGCCCTAGTCCTGTCCAAGTGCTAGGAAGGAGGCTAAGCATTGCAGACAGCTGCAAAAGCAGAATAATAATAAATATAAATAACATCATAACGAAAGAAATCCAATTTATGTTCTAAGAGCAAACACTGCATCCATGAGGAGAAAAGAGCAGATAGGGGCAGCCACCTCTGGTGCTACTTAACCGAGATGAGAAGCTGGGACAGGGCTGAGAGCAGCCGGGGGAGGTGGCCAAGTTTGGGAACAAATGGACAGAGCTGCTGGGTGATGGGGAGCACGGATGTGGAGGGGTGGAGGGAAAGAGCTGCACTGCTGCCAGGGGACCAAAGCAGGGCAGTGCGAGCAGCCTTAGCTCTGCTGTTTCCTGTGGTGGTGTTTGACTGCAGCCTCCATTTTTCTACAGAAAAAAAGCCAACATGTTTTTAGTAATTCAAAGAAATTAAAATGAAAAAAATGTTGGATACACGCTACAAAATCTGTAAAGAGGTGGTGTAGATATCCTTAGCGTTTGAAATTCCTGCTTGTTTCTGTCAGAAGATACACTGCGTCAGTGACTGCTCGAGAACAGAGGTATCTTCAAGCAGAAAATGGGGCAGTCCATAGCCCATGGCACTGAATTCCTCCTTCTGAGATGAATGAAGCATTTTTGTGTATGACGACTTTCTTCAACAATATGTTGCAGTGATGGCTGCGGTCAGTGGAGTCTGGCTGCTCCACAACCCTGGCAAATGAGAAGCAGCGTAATCCAATTTTAACTGCTTATATGTGAATGTCAGAGAAATAACAGATTTAATGACACAGTGATTTGTCAGAATAACTTACATCAGAACCTCTACTTCTGAAGGGCAAAAACTACAAGAACGTTTGCTTGTTCACAGAAAGCAAACTGAAGAAACTGGAACAAGAAAGCAAAGGGCAAAACTGTTAATAGAGGCACAGTAGAAGGAGCATGAGCCCAGCAGCTGCTTTGGGGGACAGCACACGGTCACAGCACAGAGCTGTCTGACACCCCCAGGGTGACAACTGAGCTACAATTAGCCTGTTCTGCTCTGTCCCATAGGAGCCTGGAAGGCTGGGTGCTGCCCTGAGCCCACGGGTGGCCACTTTTGGCCCAGATGGGGCTGCCCACATGTGGCATCCATTCCCCCAGGAATCAGAGTGAGAAGTTCGCTGCCAGCTCAGCTCTGGTCGCACAACACGTCCTGTAACACAAGGGAGGTGACAATGGATGGGCACAGAACCGGAGTGCAGATCCCACAGGCTCCCATCAGATCAGTGCAGGCATGGAGCTGCCATCAGGAGCTTCCAACCTGGAATGCTAAGGCTTTAACAAGATTTCCCAGAGAAAAATCTGCTGCCTCACCACTACTTACTGTAATAGGACTGGTTCTGAAAAACTACGCAGAAATTGACGACTCTTTTTCTCTTTTAATTAAATCTTCAAGGCTGAAGAAAGGATATAATGATTAATCCTGAATGTAGCCAAGGAAAACATCAGAGGATTAAGGGATGCAGATAATCGGAATTTGATCAGCCTTGGTAACGATCTCTGCACAGGTACTGCTGGCACTGAGAGCTGCAGCACGATGGAGAAGCCACTCTGCATGCACATTGCAAGCTCTAAAACTTGTGAGGGAGGCAGGGAAGGTTTCCCAGAGGAAAGCACACAAAAAGAATTGTGCTTCTCCAGCTTCCCAGAGGAAACATGGGTACATGAGATGTAGATCTGTGCAGAGCTACAGCAGGATGTATTATTGGGTATGACAGAGTGCAGACCCCCAGGCCCTGGCCCAGGCTGGTGGGATGCTCTGCACATACAGAATCACAGAATGGCCAGGGTTGGAAGGGACCCCAACGATCATGAAGCTCCAAATCCCTTGCCACATGCACGGCCACCAACCTCCACATTTCATAGCAGCCCAGGCTGCCCAGGGCCCCATCCAATGTCCTTGAACACCTCCAAGGATGGACTGGGCATCACAGCCTCTCTGGGCAGCTGTTCCAGCACCTCACCGCTCTCTCTGTAAAGAATTTCCCCTCCTGTCATGGAAGAACATCCCTCCTGACATGGAAGATGTGGACCCTGGAGCACACAGAGAAGGAGGTGCTTCCTGCCCTGCTACAGACCTGAGTCTGTGTCCTTCCCTGAGAAGGAGGAGAGAGGGAAGGAAAATCAGCCTGGGACCAAGGACTGGGCATGTCAGCATTGCTAAATGCTCCCTTGTATGGTTTCACTTTAGTTTTGCCTCATTTTGTTCAAATCAATGAATGGTTAGTGAATGGTAGACAGATTTTAGATAATATACATTCATGGAACTCCACTGGATTCAGAGACACTCACTTCAAAGACAAGAAACAGTCAGGCTCCCGAGCTTCTAAATACAAAAAAATTAAAATGCAGTATGAGCAATATACGCAATTACTGACCAGATTCGTGCAGCTCTGTCAAAGTAAGGGACATAACCTGAGCTGCTGTTCACCTGCGAGGACATCGATTCAGAGAGCAAAGCAGCAAAAACCCTGCTGGAATTTACAGCAGAGACTTTGTGTGAGACAGAGCAGAGGCACCACAACGTTACAAAAACCCGTTCCCTTGTTGCTGCTTATCCATGAAGACAGCGGCAGGGAGGGCAAACGAAGACACGCAGCACCAACCATGGACCTGCCCACTTGTGGGCTTCTCAGGCTGACACGCAGCAGTGTAAGGGATTAAAGGGAAAACCCCAAAGCAGTGTCATTATGGGCTGGTCTACACACAGAGCAGCCCTGCAGCGTTTGCCGTTCCAGCGATCAGGAAGGGATCACACAGCTCAGAACGGGGCGCTCAGGAAAAGCAGCCCTGCTTTCCCTGGAGATATAATGGGAAACTGGTCTGAACAGAGCGTGGCAGCTTTCTAGCGACAGCCCTGAGCTTCTGTGCCTGCTGGGGAACAAGCATCATTGTTGCAGAGTATGAAAGTGGTTATTTGTGTTTCAAAACGTTGTGGCCTTGTAACACTGAGACAGCGGTGCCGGCTGGTGCGTGCCTGCCTGCACATCAGCCATCTGCAGGCTGCTGGGACAGGGCCAGGCATGGGGGCATATTGCTCCCAAATACTGGGAGAAAAAGAACCCATAAAAATATTTCCAAGGTAACAGCATCATCCGTACAATGATATCATCACAGAATCACAGAACGGCCTGGATTGCAAAAGACCCACAGTGCTCATCCAGCTCCAACCCCCTGCTGTGTGCAGGTCACCAACCAGCAGCCCAGGCTGCCCAGAGCCACATCCAGCCTGGCCTTGAATGCCTGCAGGGATGGGGCATCCACAGCCTCCTTGGGCAGCCTGTGCCAGTGCCTCACCACCCTCTGGGGGAAAAACTTCCTCCTCATATCCAACCTAAACCTCTCCTGTCTCAGTTTAAAACCAGCAAAGAGTTTTCCTTTCTGGAGAAGGAATGCAAACCAGTCATTCCCTGCTGGCTCTGTTCTGCTCTGACAGCTGCAGGTGAGCAGTGCTCCAAGGGGCCGAGCTGGGGTGTGCACAGCTGGGACAGCAGGCAGCATGGCAGGACATGGAGCTTGTGGTCCTGGGAAAGAATGGGCAGGAAGCACTGCCTGTGACAGAGCCATGTCACATGGGTAGATTTCCTTTTTTTTCCAGCAAGTTCTGTAGCGGGGCATCTTTAAGTTCTATCAGCAATAAGGCCTTCGTATTTTTGATGCTGGGAGAATACAGCATGTGTATGATTCCTGACATGTTTGATA